GTATGAGGTGTGGAATGGAGTGAAGTCCAGCTTCCATATGCAAAAGACCTTGAAGGTTCCATATGCAACTGACATTCCAACTGCCTTGCGGGGAGGGGGGTGAGTTTGAGGTGTGGAATGCAGTGAAGTCCAATCAGCTTCCATATGCAAAAGTCCTTGAAACGCTGGGTGGGACTGCACAAAGCAGCCAGTCAACCCAGCCAGCGTCTTCTGACTGACAGTTCAAGCGTCCATACACTAAAGGAGTGCATTTTAGAACTTTGGCACCCACTATTCAATTATATATAAGGAGAGATTACCTGCAAAAACAAATTGACTTCTTCCAGTTTTTGTCTGATTTCTTGCCTAGCTTGCTCTTCAACTTCTCTCTTGTACTGTTCTCTTTGGTTGAAGTCCATCATATTACTCTGTACATGACGTTTGAGATTAGCGACCTCATTTTCTAGCTGCAGTTTGCTTTTCTCCAGTTTGTCATAATCCTTATGGAGTATCTTTACAGAAGACAACTGTTCTTGTAGATCATGATTTGTAGATTCTAACTGGGTACACCTAGTTGACTCAACCTCCAGTTGGTGAGAAAGTTCTTCTATCTGAATGAAACAAATACTTGTGATCTCAAAACAGGGAATTTGTTAGAATCAAGTAAATCAGATAAAGGTTAAATATTTGTACACTGATGTTGTGGACTATGCTATTTGCCCCAATTAACTATTTATTGCAGACCTGGTTACACTTTTAGAGACATTAAGGCTTGAGATAGCAGAAAACACATTTTAAACAAACTTTTTTATAGCATAATTGTTTTCAATTTGAGAAGCATCTTAATAGGAAAGTATATTTGCTGTGTGGCTGTACTAAAATGAGTAAGTAAATATACAGGAGGGGAGGCATGAAAACTTACATGGGAGAGGAAATCCCATTAATTCCTCCACTGGCTCCTGCCACCACCCTCTTGCTCCAGTATGCACACCTACCTTCCCTCTGCTCCATTTCAGCCCCTTGGTGACTCACCCTCCCTGTCTTTTTCATATAATAATTATTGATTAAACAACACACATTAACAGCTCCAATTTTACAGCTTTATAGGCACCTGTTTCCTCCTCCTTTCCCATCAGCTCAGATCATAGCATCATAGAATGTTAGAGTTAGACGGGACCTTGCAGGTCATCTAGTCCAACCCCCTGCACTGCAGGAGTATACTGAAAGATAGCCCCACATACCTACAACTTCTGATGCCCACCTGATCTTTTCCCTTCCCCACTGCTTATCACCACCTGCTCTCCTGCTCCTTACCAGCTGTCCTTCCACCCCACAACCCCCAAGGCGTCCCCTCTCGCCATTCTAGTCCTCTCTCTTCATCTGTTTCCCTCCCCAAACTACTTTTTTTTGCATTCTTTCTGATTTTTCCCACATTTTGCACTCTGCATTCTCCTCTTCACCACCCTTTCACTCCCTCTCTCTACTCCTATTACCAGCCTACTGACGTCTTTCCACTAATAGCTGCCATTTTTTGTTGCTATCACCTGATTTTTTCTTCCTGTATAACACTACTGCATACACAGATGTTGCTGTTACTGTTGAAGGAGGGTAAGCCCATAAACTTTAAAAAAATGTTCATATTTTCCTACAAAGCTCAAGAGTTTGCAGAAACATAAGCCTTAACCTTGTCCTGATTTTTTGATCTTGGGGGAGGGGGATACATTTTTATTAGCTGTATTATGTTCATTTCATAAAAGGAAATAATTATATAGAATATTACCTTTGTTTTTAGCTTTCCAACTTCTATGTCTATTACTGAGTATCTGGTCTTCATTTCTCCCTGAAAGGTAGTTTGAGATGAGTTCTCCTCACTCTCATATTCTTTCAGTTTCTTTTTAGTTGTCCTTAAGAGCTTCTTAATTCTGCAGGATAAATATTGAAATCCATCAGTTCCACATTTATTGATCCCTTGTTGAGAGAGCAAATTATTTTTTTATTATCTACTTGGAACCAAATTGTGATTGAAACTGTGGCCAAATTTGTATACCTTGAAGTTAGGAAACGAGCAATGTATCAGCAGACAGGGCCTTAAGGGCATGATATGCAATTAGGATGGCATGCATTTCTATGGTATGGGAAGACAGATTCACATAAATATTTCAAACAACATCGGTTAAGGGCAGCCTTATTAAAAGTCTGGAAACCAATCAAAAAGCAATTCTATGGTAAGATCCTGAAGCTGGTTGCACCTTAGAAGCATTCACAAATCCTAAATTGTCAGAAGAAAAACTAGAGATGAGATATGCTGATTTGCTGGATGCAAAAGGTAATTTAAAGCTGCCTAAAGAACTGAATTGGTGGCAAAAAGTACAGATTGAATCAAAGTATTCTAAAGATAAAACGATTGGTTTCAATGAGGAATGGCTTGAAATAGATAAGTTAATGATGGCAGGTGATCAGAATTTTATAAAGAAAATGTATGATTTACTGCTTGATTATAAAATGTTTGATGAAACTGTTAAAATGTGATGGTTTTATGGGCACAAAATGTTGGTCATAATATACAACTTGAACAGTGGAATAAACTTTGGAAAAAAATATTAAGATTACAAAATCTATTGCATATAAAGAAAATATATACAAGATGTTTCACAGATGGTATATAACGTCTGAAAAGTTAGATGTGCTGGAAATGTGAGAATAAAACGGGGTCATTTTACCACATGTGGTGGTTATGTGATAGAGTCAAAAAATACTGGGCAGGGATACATGCTTTGACTCAACAGATTCTGAAATGTAATGTACCCTTTACTCCTGAAGTATACTTATTGAACATTTTCCCTGATACCTTTAAAAGAGATGATTCTTACCTTTTGATTTATATAACTACTTCAGCCATAATATTATATGCTAAATATTGGAGATGCCAAGAGGTGGCAAGTAAGGAGGAATTTATTAATAAAATTTTTGAAGCGGCATACATGGACAAGCTTACGTTAACCTTGAAAGACCACTCAGAAGATTCATTTGAAAATACTTGGCAAAGGTTTTATGAATGGCATAAACATTATATCCTTACTTAAGCAAAACAATGGACAACTAAGAATAAGAGGAGAAGACATGAAGAGACTAAAATTCCTTACTGTTGCAAAACAATCTTTTTTTTAGTATAAGGTAGAAACTATATGTATTAGAAAAGACGCAATAAGCAATATGTAAACAAACTATACCCCCGTTTTATGTTTAGAAGTAGTGTAGTATGTTTGTTTGTATGTATGTCTTTGTTTATGTAGTCAATAATTAAAAAAAAAAGCAGACAGGGCTTTGACTGTTCAGACTGTTTCTTCCCTGTTATAATTCGGTTGTTATGCCAATAAAGGTTGTTTGTTTGTTTGAAATCCATCAAAAAATTAACAGGGAAAAAAAACCCAAGTAAGTTTTGTTTTCGTTTCTGAAAGTGTTCTATGAAGATTTTTTAACGTTCACCCATCGGGACATTCTTTGTTGGAGAATGTAAAAGAACTTTGTTGTATGAAAATTGTAAAGTAGGGTGGCTTCAGTGTGTTCTTTGCTTAATACCCAGTTTCAGAATCATCACAGACTCAAATAGAGTAAATTCTGGCACAGTACAGGAAATCCACTAATGAAATGCATGTTAATTTCACTGGCTGAAGTGAGCATCATCTTTGGCAGTGACAGCAGCAGCAGTGTAATAGATGATGGGAAACAGTAGCTGCCCCTCATTTCCCATCACTGTGGGGCTGCCTTCATCTTTTCACTCATGCTACTTACAGCTACTCTGGAGGCTAAGTATCTTTGGGCACTGCCTACCCAGACACACAGTCCCTATTCCACTCCTTGACCACATAGATTCTGAGATTATCTTTATTTATTATGATAGGGGGCCTTGCAAGGACTCTAACAATGCTATCCTAAGCTGGTCTACTCAGACTACCACTAAAGTCTATTTAATAGGGTTTACTCCCAGGAAAGTATTAGGATTGTACTGAAAAAGGATGGAAATTTAATTCCTTCTCTACCTTTTACTTATTCTGCTGGGTCTGGCTTTGCTCCTCACCCCTGCAATGGCTCTGTTCTTATCTCAGCATATATATACTGGCTCCAACTCCACTTCCTTTCCCCCCTCATCTCCTCCTGGTGTTTGCAGCCACTGCTGCAGTGTCATGCACCATTTTGGGATGCTGCAACAACGCAGAATGCCAGCCAAGCTCCAGAAATTGTGTGTGAGAGAGATGCCTGAACATGTTCAGTAACAGCTCTAAGAGTTTGTTAATTCCTATTTTTTTAACAGATGCAATGTTTCTGTAAAGCTGAGCCCTAAACTGTAGTTGGAACTAACTCCATTTTGCAGATTTGTTTTGATCCACATAGGGCCAGCTCTCAGACATTAGATATGATGTTTACATATGTTTTCAAAAGAAAAAGTCAAGGAAAATGGGGAAAGAGGGTTGTACATATTATCTAGAGGGTATGCAGTGCATTGAAAGGAAAGTAGGCTAGAAACCAGACTCTCTTGTATATTTATCTATGAATGGTAATTTGCAATGATACATTTCAAGTAGAAGTTCTATAAACCAAAGCATCTACTTCTTTATTACTTTCTGAACAACTGAAGTCTACTTACCCATTGCATTCTTTATGTAATTCACTGTTTCTCTTCATTTCTTGACCTAGCCGAATTTCCAGTGACCGTTTTAACTCTGCTAGTTTTTTCACTTTCTTCTTCTCATTGTTAAACTGTTAAAAAACCAAGAATAAGTACGTAATATTTAGGCAACCCAACAAAAATTCACATACCCCATCACTGTTACATAAAAAACTCCTACGATTTGGATCCTAGATCTCTTTTTCTCTAATGGTCATCCTTTTCTCCAGTGCTGGAGTCACATACTCCCCTGCTAGTAGAACGGTATGATCCAATCTATTGGATTGGATGTACCCCTTTCCACATGCAGAAAGTATCTCACAGGAAGTCTATGAACATTATGCAAAGAACTAAAATGAAGAAATTCTTCTACAGCAGAACTTCCTAGCTGTGTCCATGTTTTCCAAATTACCATCACTGAAAAACATCAGAGTAACCCCTAAGAGTACTGACACCATCTGACTATGTAAGTAAGCTGCTGTAATTCTATATTTTAATTTTTCTGAGAAAGTTTATTGTATGGAAGCTAAAACTAAATATGTTCAAAGTATAAACTTTTCAAAAGGTCAAATTAAAAATTATCATGTCACTTTAGGCAAGATATTTATTTTAAAAATATTAAGTCATCTTGTTAATCATAAATGTAAAGAACTCAAAGATTAAAGTCTGAAATATATTATTATTAATTCATTGTGGTAACAATCAATGTAAAGAAATGTTAAAAATTGTGTATTACAATTTTGTTAAGGTGCATTTAGCATATTAATTTGTGGAATATTAAACATACATATAACTTGACAAATATGCATACTGTTTTTCCAAATCTGCACACAGGAATGTAGTTATGATAGTAGAACATTATATTCTTGGTTTTGCCCAGGCCACGGGACGGAGATCGCACTGGTCGCCCTCATGGAAGACCTCTGGAGGCATCTGGATTGGGCGGATCAGCAGTGCTGTTGCATCTGTCCGGCAGCATTCGACACAGTTGACCATCAGTTACTGATCCACCACCTCGCCAACACTGGAGTCCATGGGTCTGCCTTGCAATGGCTTACTTCCTTCCTTCAGGGTCGGGGACAAAGGGTGGCGCTAGGGCAACAGCTATCCCGAAGGCATTCACTGACTTATGGAGTGCCCCAAGGGGCGGTGCTTTCCTTGATGCTATTCATCTATATGTGCCCCCTTGCCGAGATTGCCCGGAGGCATGGGCTGGGATGTCACCAGTATGTGGATGACACCCAGCTCTATCTGCTGTTGGGTGGCCAGTCTGACTCTAAACTGGAAGATCTGGACCAGGCGTTACAAGCTGTGGCTGGATGGCTCAGACTGAGCTGATTTAAATTGAATCCAACAAAGACGGAGGTCTTGTGCCTGAGCCGAGGTGGCCCAAGGTTAGGGATCCCACTCCCAACTTTCGATGGGGTGCCGTTGGTGCCAGTGCCGGAGGTTAGGAGTGCTCTTTTACCATCTTTGGCTGATTAGGCAGTTGGTTCCCTTTCTCGAATACAACGACTTGGCAACAGTGATCCATATGCTGGTCACCTCGAGATTGGACTACTGTAATGCTCTTTACATGGGGCTACCCTTGTCCCAAATCCGGAAGCTACAGCTAGTGTAAAACACTGCAGCCAGGCTTTTGATGGCCCTCCCTATGTGGGAGCACATCCAGCCTGTGCTGAAAGCACTGCACTAGCTGCCGATAGCATACTGAATTCATTTCAAGGTTCTGGTTCTCACCTTTAAAGCCCTTTATGGTCAGGGGCCTACATACCTGAGGGACCGCCTTTCCCCACATGTTCCCCAGAGAGACTGGCCCTCCCAGGTCCCAAAGACACCAGGCTGGCCATAATTGGGGACCGGGCCTTTTCAGTGGTGACTCCGTACTGGTGGAATGAGCTCCCAGAAGAAATCAGGGCTCTGCGGGACCTTTTACAGTTCCACAGGACCTGCAAGATGGAACTCTTCCACCAGGCCTTCAATCAAGGAGCCACATCAAACAACTGAAAAGTGACAGAGCCCTGTTCCTCGGCTTACCATCTACAGCCGGTGCCCCCCAGTAAATAGACCAAGATGAGCTGACAATCAATACAGACCACTTGAACATTCCATCATGATTGTTGCCGCCATCTGTAAGTACTGCTATTAGTATTAGACCTGTTAATAGCACTTTACGATACTTGGATCGTCTTATGGTTATTTTATGAGTGTTTTATAGTTGTTATTTATCTGTTTTAACCTTTTACGTAAGCCGCCCTGAGCCTGCTTTGGCGGGGAGGGTGGGATATAAATTGAACAAATGAATGAATAAGCCTATTAAAGTAATAGGCTGCCTAGTCACCACTGGCGAGTAGAAATCAGCCCCTGGCAACCATGTGATGACTCAGGGGCTTTGATATGCAGCACTGTACCTAGTAGAGGTCTGGGTTCCATACATTGAACAGCTTAGGTCAGTGGTGACTAAACTTCTCTCAGTTATTATTATCAATACTTTCACATCAGAAGCCGCCTGCTTTGCAAAAAGCTCCGGTTCTTGCATCCTTTTTGTGCAGACACATGTTTCAATAAAGTAAATTAAGATAAGGCAAAGTCAGCAGACTGCTATGGTCTGTGTATGACCTTTGTCTTTAGCAAGAGCTACCCTCTCTCTCTCTTTCTTCACTTTTGCCTATTCCCTACAATATCACGCTTTAGGTGATGTGCAACCATTAAAAACAAAATTAAAAGTAAAAACTGAAAATCAGCTACATCATCTCGGTGTCAAACATTCCTTTGTCACCCTACTCTGGACTGCGTTGCTGTCTCACAGGCAGGTAAGGAGAGGGCCAAAGCGAGAATGGCGGAATGAAAAAAGAAGAGGAAGAAGGTGCTGGCTATGATGGAACCTTTGCTGTCTTCAACCAAAAGCCTGGTGGAATATGTCTGCCTTATGAGCCCTGTGGAATTGCATTAAATCCCACAATGCCCTGGTGGTATTATGCAGAGAATTTCACCAGGTCAGAGCCAAAAAAACCCTGGCTCTGGTCAAGGACAGCTGGATATTTTTAGGGCCAGGGACCACCAGTCTCAGCAGAGCATAGTGCTCTCCCGGGGACATACCAGAGGAGCGGTCCCAATGATACACAGGTCCCAGACTGCTCAAGGCCTTAAAAGTCAACACCAAAACCTTGAACCTGACTTGGTATTCAACTGGGAGAGTGTAGCTGGAGCAGCACAGGTCGCATATATGCTGTCCGTGGCATTCCCGTCAGGTCTGGCACCGCCACATTCTGGACCAGCCAAAGCTTCTGGGTCAGTCTCATGGACAGGCCAACGTAGAGTGAGTTACGGTATTCTAGCCTGGAGGTGACTGTTGCATGGATTACAGTGGCTATGTCAGGGCGTGACAGGAAAGGGGCTAATTGCAGAGCTTGGCGTAGATGGAAAATATTTGTGACCTGGATCTCCATAGTTAATGGACTATCTTTAGAAGATCCTCAAATATATTTTTAACCTCTGGGATTTCTTTTAAAATTTTAATTCTTATTACACTTTGGGATTGTAAACTGCATTTTCCAAGGCTTGTGACAGTAAATAGAAACGGTATTTAAAATTTCAGTATGTATCAGTATAGGAGCTGCGGTGGCTCAAATGGTTAAGACGCTGAACTGCAGGCTGTGGAAGGTTGGTAGTTCAGCAGTTCGAGACCCGAGTGTGCCGCATGACGGAGTGAGCTCCCGTCTCTAGTTCCAGATCCTGCCAACCTAGCAGTTTGAAAGCAAGAAATTGCAAGTAGATAAATAGGTACCACTTCAGTGGGAAGGTAACAGCGTTCCGTGTGCTTTGGTGTTTAGTCATGCCGGCCACATGACTACAGAAAACGACTTCAGACAGCGCTGGCTCTTCGGCTTTGAAACGTAGATGAGCACCGCAACCCTAGAGTCGGATTCGACTGGCTTTCGAGCAAGGGAACCTTTACCTTTTATGTATCAGTATGCAGGCTACTAACATTTTTATAGGCTAGAAACTTAACTCATTTCAAAGTCTGATGGAAGCAGTGGAGCCTGGAAATCTCCCAGAACTACAACTGATCCCCAGACTACAGAAATCAATTCCCATGGAGAAAAAGGGCTGCTTTGGAGGGTGGACTCTGTGACATTATACCCCTCTGAGATCCCTCCCCAGGCTGCACTCCAAATCTCCATGAATTTTCCAACCCAGACTTGGCAGCCCTAGATACAACATGAACTGAGTTTATTTTATGGGATGCATCTAATTCTTTTACTGGTGGGGAGAAATTAAGTACTTGGAACAGCTTACATTTTTTCCTACCATCTGTATGCTCACTGGACTTACTTGAGCTAGTAACTCCGTCTTCTCTCTATCAAGCTCAGAAAGGCGAGCTCCAAGTTTTGATCTTGACTTCAGTTCTTCTTCCCACATGCTGTAAGTATCCTGGGCAGTTACTGATAGCATAGTTTGTTTCTGGACCTAGAAAACAAGCACAGTGCTCTTGATGGAGAAATGTTACAGAATGTATGTTTAAACTAGTCAGGCAAACATTGTACTGAACCATACACCCAATTTAGACTTCACAGAATTGGTCACCAAGCCATGGTTTTGCAACTGGGAGCTATTGTGCGAGCTTGCTTACACGTCCCCATTCTTCCTCCTTCTCATAGCCTGATGCACTCCCTCTGCAATGGTTTACAATAAACATAGTTTCAACAATGTCCAATTTGGGCAAACGTAGTCATGGCAGTAGAGATTTATATCCACTTCAAATTGTGGTTTCAGGGTTCAATATACATTCTAATTTCTTCTAATTTTAAATGACATACCTTTGTTTTGCAAATTTAGCTGTCCCAGATGGCTTTACCAAGGAGGAGAACAGAAGAATGATCTTGGGAGTGAATAGGACTGCCCACCCCCCATGGTGGAGGATCCCCTGCCACCAGGCCCTGTTGCCTGCCACCACTGGAAGCAGTGGGACAAGAAAAATAAAGAAAAACAAGGTCTTTTCTAGTTAACAGGAAGTTCTTACTGTCTAGTTCCTGGCAATTCCTAGAGCTACCCAGAATCTAGGAATCACCAGAAACTTGGTGGTAAGAAAACACGGTTGCGTTTACCTGTAAAAACAGGTTGCTTAGCTGTAACTGATGATCTTCGAGTGGTCATTTGTGCAGTCACACACTTGGGTTGGGTGCTTGCGCATGATCCCGACCTCGGAAAGTTCTATAGCTAGCCATAGGCATTTTGGCACACTTTCTCCCCTGCTCTGGGGAGCAGGCATCAACTGCACATGCCTGGAGCTGAGGAGAAAGCCACCTCCCAGTCAGTTCCTTTGAACTGCCGGCGGTAAGTTCCATCAACTAAAGGTAAGTGACAGAGAGCTGCCAACAGTGGGGAAGGCTGGGCAGGTGTGTGTGACTGCACAGATGACCACTCAAAGATCATTAGAAGTTTACCTTCTTTGTGGTCTCTGTGCAGTCTCACACTTGGGTGATTAGCGAACTAGACAGAAAACAGGATGTAGGGTGCTGGCAGCTGGCATAAAGAGAAAATAATAAAAACCCTTTAACTGTTATAGACCTACCTGAGAGGTGTTCTGAGGAAGAGTGTCAGTGAAAAATGGACCTCAGCACCGTCTGACTGAAGGAGGTGTCCTGGCAAGCCTTGATGTCCAAAGTGTAGTGCAACACAAAGGTCAATGAAGAGGACCATGTAGCTGCCACACAGATGTCATCAAGGGAAACACCTTAAAAGAAGGCTGCGGAGGTCAACACCACCCTGGTTGAGTCTTGCTAACTTGTAACACAGTGAGATGATAAAAGTGACCCACTTGGCCAATCTGTGTGTAGAGACCTTTTGACCCTTACTGGGTTTGCCACAAGTCACAAAAAGATATGTGTCCTTCTGGAACAGCTTGGTTTTGCTGTAATCCACCCTGAGCCCACTTGCGGAGAGGGTGAAATAGAAGTTGAATAAATAAATAAATGTAAAATGACAAGGCGCTTCTGACATCCAATGAATGTAGGGCTCACTGGCCATTATCAGCAGAGTCTGGGAATATGGCAATAGTTTGGGACAAATGAAAGGGACGACTTTAGGTAAAAACAAAGAGTCCGGGCGTAACACCATCCTGTCCTTATGAAAAACAGTTTAAGAAGGGTCCACCCTAAATGCACAAAATTTGCTCACCCTCTTGGCAGAAGTCACTGCCACCAGGAAAACCATTTTCCAGGTTAACAGACGAAGATCAATGGTTGCCAGTGGCTTGAAGGTCTTGCCCATGAGTTTTGCTAGCACTAGTGACAGACTCCAGTCTGGGACCAAGGGTGTTTGAGGAGAACGGAGACAGAGCATTCCTTTCAGGAAGGACTTGGTGACTCTGTAAGAAAATAATGTACTACCATCCACAAGATTGTGGTTAGCTGATATGGCAGCCAGATGAAAACCCAACTTCTGCAGGGAAACCAGGAACACAAGAACCTCTGGGAGGGGTGCACTCTTAGGATTGTTCAGCTTCGAGGCTGCATAAATCACAAAACATTTCCATTTAGCCTGGTAGGTCCTTCAAGTAGAGGGCTTCCTGGCATTCAGCAGCCCTTCTCGAATGTCTGGGGGGGAAATTTAAGGGTTTATACACCCTTCTGTTAATTTGAAGAACCTGGGGTCATGATGGAGAACCCTGCCTCACTGCTGTGATAACAGGTTTGGGGCTGGAGGAAGAGGCAGGTACCTGTTGTTTGAAAGACAAAGACGATGTGGAAATCAGGGTTGCCTGGGCCACCGGGGGGTAATCAAGATGCAGGAAGTCCGATCATTAACAATCTTCTGAAGGACTCGCAGAATGAGTGGGTATGGGGGGAATAGGTAGAAAAATGTGCCTGTCCAATCATGGAGGAAGGCATCCCTGAATCATCAGTTTCATGGTCACCCCCTGCTGAAGAAACTGTGATATTTGGTATTCTCCGTGGTGGTGAAGGCATTGACTCCTAGATGATGATGAAGAAGAGATTGGATTTATACCCTGCCCTTCACTACCTGAAGGAGCCTCAGAGCAGCTTACAATCTCCTTCCCCTTCCCACAACAGACACCCTGTGAGGCAGGTGGGGCTGAAAGAGTTCTTTCGAGAACTGCTTTTGAGAGAACAGCTCTGAGAGAAGTCACTCCAAGGTTACTCCAGCAGCTGCATGTGGAGGAGTGGGGAATCAAACCCAGTTCTCCCAGATTAGAGTTTGTGCTCCTAACCTCTACACCAAACTGGATGACTGAAGGTCTTGAAGACCAGAATCAAGTAAGTCAGAAAGGAGTTGGCAATGGAGCTTGAAGTGGCAAAGAAGCCATGTCTAGAGAGGCCACATCCAGAAACATGCAAATGGGACCACGAATGTGGTGGAGGCCATATAAGTCCCAGAAGTCGCTGGATGGCATTCACAGACTGGAGAGGCCTTGTTAGGACAGGCTTCGCCATGGTCTGCACGACAGAAGCCCTGTCTGCAGGAAGGTAAGCTTGTTTGTCGGTGGTGTGAAGCCTGGCTCCAATGAACTGTAGGACCTGAGTGGGTTGCAGAGATGACTTGCTGCAATTTACACAAAGGCCCAGGCATGCCAGCAGATAGATGTGGATGTGGATATCAGTCAGTAGTTGTCAATGAGACTGTGCGACCAGTAACCAGTCATTGATGTAGGTCTCCCTCATTGCCTCAGGGCCGCTGCCACCACAGCCATACATTTGGTAAAGACACAGAGTACAGTGGACAGTCCGAAGGGAAGCATTCTGTACTGGTAGTTGGAGTGACCCAGTGCGAAGCGCAGGAACCACCAGTGCTGGGGGCAGATTGTCACGTGAAAATAGGTGTTTTGAAGTTCTACTGATGCCATCCGAGCATTCACAGGGATCAGAGGAAGAATAGTTTGCAACGTAATCGTGCAAAATTTAAGATGCTTGATGAAGCGGGTCAGATCTTTTAGGTTCATTATGGGCCTTTTGCCTCCATTCTGCTTTGGGACTAAAAAATATCTGGAATAGAACCACTGGTGGTGTGTGATAGCTCCCTTGTTGAGGAGGCTGTTCACTTCTTCCAGGAGAAAGCAGGACAAAATGTGGGGTGGGTGGGAGAGAGTCAAACTTTATGGCATACTTCACCCAAATGATGGTGAGGACCCAGGTATTCGTGGTGATGGAGTTCCAAGCTGACACATAGGGATGAAGTCTGGTGCACACAGGTGGTGTAGCGAGAGGTGGGGGAAGGAGAGCAACTTGTCTGGAAAAGTCAAAGAGGCGGTTTAGGTGGCTGGAAGGGCCTTTTAGTAGATGGTGTCTTTGTCTTGGATTGGTAGCCCTGCTTAGGTGGTAATGGTTTCCTCTTCCAGGTCTCATGAGTGAGGTGAGTGTTGACGTTTTTGGTACTTCGGCTTCTATTGTTTGGACTTATTTCATTGTATGGAGGGTCGCAATATTCCAAGGTTTCTGGCCCATTTTCTGCCATTGCCCACTGTTGTTAGAGTCTAATCTGTGGAAGCATGGAAGGGACCTTCCCCATCAAAGGGGAGATCTTTGATCTTGGTTTTGATATCTGCCTGGAGGGAGGTAGCCTTGAGCCAGGCATGTCTTTGTAAAGTGATGGCTGTAGCCAGTGTCTTCAAGGAGCAAATTGCTGTGTGACTTCCTTCATGGCTTCTTTAATAGGGTCAACTGCTTCTGCAATTGAACCTTTGATGGTTTCTTGAATTAGAGCCTGCAATTTTTTGCCTTGGGAAAGTTGTAGGGTTGAGGCCACTGACTTTGTTGTAACTAGTGAACTTAGTGGCATTCTCGGTGGTCTACCAGTTCCTGCCATTTCCATGAAGTTGATATTATAGGTTTTCTATCCAAAAATCCAAAGGGAAATGCAGTTCTCCTATAGACCTTCCAGTAATCTCAAAATAGGAGGAGGTGAAAAGAGAAAGAGAGGCAAAGGAAACAAAAAAAGCCCTATAAAAGATTTCTTTTAAATGTACTCCTTTGTTGATTCTGCCAAGAATAGTGTTTTGGAACAAGTTGCTCTGTAAATTGAAAATAATAACAGCTCTGATATCTGTTGCCATCTAAGCCTAATGCAGCCACAGGAATGTGTTTCAAGGTCACACGTATAGTCAGTCCACTTATAAAAAAAAACAGCCTCAGAGACAATTAATGGAGAGAAAGAGAAATTATAATCTGGTGAAACAACGCTTAGGATAGATCCAATAATAGCAGATCAAATAAGTCACAGAAGGCTCTTCCAATTGTCCTTACAATATGTTGACATACAAAGGATGCTCAGTCCCATTCCAGTTTTTATGACCCAAAAATTTGTACTGAGTGCCCTGGATGGTCTACACTCCACCCCAAATAGGGGAAAAAATTGAGAGTGTTGCAAAGGGTCTTTAAAGTTAATAACAACAGTCAGGTACCATACAACTCGATTATTCATAAAGTTTGGCAAAGTTTCCTTCTCAAGAGCTGCCCAAAGTTAAAAGCAAAGTCATGCCAGGTGTTTTTTCTTAGCCGGCCGCCTTTACTAGAGATGGGGGGGGGGAACCTCCTGACTCTGTTCTTTAATAACCCTTAAGATTGTAAGGGGCAGATAGTATGCAGATTAAAGAGTCTCTCCTTTGACTGTAGCAATAAAGTTTTACTCACAGTGATGTAGTCGGCTTTCTTCAGCTGGGTTTCTAAACCCCCCCCCCCAGTCACAGGAAGCAACAGCTAGCAGCCCATAGCCATGGGCGTTCTCTTCGGTCTTTGCGTTGGAGGCGATCCTATGGTCTCACCCAGTGTGCAGCTGCTGCATGGGGGTCTCAGATCAAGCCTCTTGCACTACTCCCCCATCTCTGGAGAGGTAGAGGGGTCTCGGTCGAGCCAGAGCCCCTTTAAAGATCAAAAGAAGCCGGTGCGCATAAAAGCACATTGTCTCGCCATGCTGCAACCTGCTCCTCTCCAATCCTTAGTAAACTTAAAGGGCAGGTAGAGGAGAGTCAGCTAGAGATTCACTGCATGTTTGGCATCCCTAGCCTGCTGGGGGGGCATTCTACCACATCACAAAATGAACACGTTCGGTAAACGGGAAGGTCTGTGAAGTTTCGTGTAGCCCACAAACCATGAACCTACCATGAACCAAAATTAACCTCCATTTTCCTGGTTCATGCCCATCCCTAATACTTATGTTCCGTGTTTCACCTGTCTTTCCCTTCCCCTCTATCCCTCTCTTTCTCTCCAATGCCTCTCTTTCTTTTTATCTATTATGGGATTAAGGCTGCAAACAGTGAGAGAGAGGGAAAATTAGGATTTATTATTACATTGCCTGTTAAAACTGTAAACCTGTAATAAAGCTCTAATGTAAGAAAAAACTTATGACATGATTGCCAAGTGTATGAAACAAATTCTGATTCTCCACAGGAAGAAAAATGAACAGCCTGGCTTGGCAAATTAGTGTTATCATTCATCACTGGTTATTGTGCATCATATTTAAACTTTCCATCATTTAATTACATTTAGGTGAAACTCCTTACTCCCTTTTTAATTTCTGCCATTTTTGGTTGAGAACTCTGGACAAATCAATAGGTGAAATTTCTGTCTTCTGGAGAAGACTGCAACCTCTTGGCAGAGAATATGATTAAGGAGCACAAATCAATGTGGTAATGTATGCTCATGAACATGTGCCATGTTTAGTTGGTCTGTAGTAGATGGAAAAAATTGTCTTGATCCTTTTTAAGACATGTAACTAAAGAGTTAATACAAACTTTTATATGATACAAGTGGAAGACTATCAAGACTACTAAACAGTAAGCCATATCTCCTTGCTTTAGGAGCAGATTTCTGAGCAAGCAGAAGAGACTGATATAGTTTGAGAGGTTAAGGATAAGGCTTCAAAAACCATAGCAAAAGAAGCTGTTTCACAAGGCAAGGTTGTACTTCTTGAACGTTTTTGCCCATGGAGGAAAAAGCTATGGAGAATAAACATTTCTTAAAATGTAATTTTTTGAACCTGATCAATATATCTAATTCTCAACTCTCTATGGATACTTAACTCCAGAGATTGGAACCATGAACAGACAAAACAGATCTTTCTACAAACCTGAGAAAAGCCCCAAGTTTGTAGAAAAATATAAAACAAAAAATACATAGCGGGAGGGATTAAAAACCTTCGGAGTGATAAAAGGCTGTTGGTGTACGGCATGGGGAGTTAAACCTGAACAGAAAGAAGCCTGTGATTTTAAGAAACAAATGCCCTTATGCCAGGTTGGTGTAGTGGTTAAGAGTGGTGGACTCTAATCTGGAGAATCAGATTTGATTCCCCACTCCTCCACATGCAGACAGCAGGGTGACCTTGGGTCAGTCACAGTTCTCTCAGAGCTCTCTGAGCCCTGCCTACCTCACAGGGTATCTGTTGTGAAGAGAGGAAGGGAAGGAGATTGTAAACCGCACTGAGACTCTGAGTGAAGGGCGAGGTATAAATCCATCTCCTCCTCCTCCTTTTCTTTTCCCTCTTCTCCTTCTTCTCATTCTCCTTTGCCACTGATAGGCAACCACACTTGTATTGCCAGCCCTTCAAGCCTTGCTTTCTGTCTTAAAAGGCAGGGCCCTTCTGGCTTTTGAGGGAAGATTGATTCGGGTCAGGCCTGGCAGCAATCACCAGGTGTAGCCCAGAGGTGCTGCCTTACTCTCAGGTAGCCCCAACAATGGGGTACCCTACTTCTGACCTGAACCAGAGACCCACAAAGTCAGGCCAAGGAAGACACTCTTAGCCTGAGCCACAGAGATAGCCAACACTTTGCAAAAGGGTTTCCATTTCAGGATACACAAGGCAGCTCTTGAAGTAATCTCCAGTCTTCCCCCTCCACCCAGCAAAGGTATGCATATGAAACAATAGTGAGTTCCACCAGGTACAGTATCTACATTTCTAAAGTTATTCAGTGGTCACCTGGCGAACAGCCCTTCTCTCTCCAAACCTGCATGTAGCCCGTTTTGTTTGACTCCTATGCCTATGCGAAAACTCTTTTGTCTAAAACAACTGTCCTTCCTGCCCCATCCCTCAAGATACCAAGATAAAACTAATTAAACATTAGTTTCATCAGCAATCCTTCCTGACACCAATCAGGGACCCATTTCCCACCTTTTGTCTAAACCTGGGAACCTATTCAACCTGCCTTGGCGGGACCATCAGGGGTCATCAAACCCATTCAGCCAATGGGCATTAATTTCATCAATGCTATTGTGCATCCAGACTCTGCCCCTCTGGGACTTCATTGGTCACACCTAGGTTTTACTCTTCCTGGTGTCACACCCCCTTGGACCCATTATTGGTCCAGGAAATCTTTTGCCTTTACTTGAGACAAGCCCCTCAAGGCCTCCTATTGGTGTGCATTGTTTTCCCATGTCTATATCCACCAAAGCATATGGCCTCGACTGTGTGTCTGCCCGGACACCAACTGGCAATTCACTCCCAAACTTTGTTTGGGCCATAATCTCTTCCCCATGGACCTCTGCACATCTGGACAGGGACTATAACCCCCATAACTGACCCTACCGTTCACTATTATCAGTTACGTTTTCTTAGTTCTGCACTGTGTGCTCTTTCTTGAATGCTTAGTGTGCTTGTCATTAGGGAAATTCTTCAATAAAAACTATTTGATTCACTCTTCAAATCTGGAGTCTTCCTACTGGACCGGACCTTAGTATACACAGGTGTGCAGTCCCTGGTATCCCTCTGGCCTCCTCTGCCTCATAGGTAATTTCCCCCAACAACAAGGCAGGCCAATGGTGGTAACACAGGCAACTTGCTACTTGCTATGTGCATGACTCACCCAGGCCTGGCTGCTTGCTACTGTTCAACAGTAGTCACCTTATGGAAGCCAGTGTGGTGCAGTTGTTAGGGTTTCAGACTAGGATCTGGGAGACACAGATCACCAGTCTGCCATGCAAGCTCATTGGGTGATCTTGGACCAGTTACACATTCTCAGCATAACCTACCTAACAGTGTTGTTGGGAGTATATATTGGAGGTGAGAATGATGTAAGTTGTGGAGAAAGGTAAATAAACAACAGATGTAGTTGAAGATGGGAGAAAGATAAAAGGTAGCTAGGTTGGTTGGTCAGTGGGTAGGAAAAAGTGAAGAAAGCAAGGAAAGGTGAAGATATGAAGGCTGCCAGTTGAAGGAAAAAAGGAAATGGTGTGCGGGAAGGGGATATGGGGAAACTGAGTTCCCCACTGCCCAACTGGGCCATAGTTTTCCAGGGCAAAGGCCAGGGAAGGGAAGGAGGGAGAACAGACAAAGCTATGATGTTTGGTGGGTGGGAAGGAGAGAAGGAAACAGGAAAAGAAGAGAGGTGATGGGGTTTTCAGGGAAGGGAAGGAGCAAATAGTAGGTGAGGGGAAATGAGATGCCTCCTGTAAGTTCTTGCAGGTCCCCCACTTGTTAATTTATAATGCAGATATAATAAAAGTACAGTGATGCAAAGAGCTTAAGATTCTTGTTTCCTGTTATTTGGGTACATCAAATGCAGCTTACACACTTATAGCTTGTTTTTGTACTTGCGTACTGTCCTTCCAGATGAGGCTTTCAAATGCCACTCATAATTTTGGTCAAAGAGCTTTATGAGAAAGGAAAGAAAAAACAACCCTCACTGCTACACAAACTAAATGAAAGAATTTGAGGATGTCATCCAAGTCTCCTTGTGTGGCTCTGAAAACAACAACCAATTAAATTTATTTTTCAGCCCAGGAAAAAAAAATGGAGACATGCATGGGATTTCCCAATGCTGAAAAAGAATGACTAAAGCCTACCAGAGATACTTCTAGTACAGTTCAAGGGAAAGAAACAGAAAAAAACATCTCCAGTATACAATCTTAGGACACCTCCCCCCCACTATTATTATGCAAATGTATCCAATCACAAATTATTAGCACATTAAGAATTTATTATACCTGACGGTTTAGTTGTTCCTCTAAATGTTTTTTTGTTGTTTGCAAGACAGTTATTAGTTCCTCAAGACGATTATGAACCTATATCCAAAAATTAAAATACTCATTTAAAAACTGTGAAGGTCTTAAGAATTAATGCAGGGAAATCTCTACAGGGAATAAAATATCTGGATTTCATGCAGATACATTCGTTAGTTTTGATCAGAAACTATATTATAGCTAACAAAAAAGGATTCCATCACTTTATAATGTCAAAGAATCCTTAAAAGATAGAGGTTATATTAATAGTTATTCAAATGTTTGTAAGACAGTTTACTGTTCCCAACCTCTTCAGTAGGCAGTACAAAATTTTTAAATTTTAGGACTTAAGAAGAGACTCAGTCATAAATGGGAATTGTCCCCCCCCCCTTTACCCACCAGTAAGATGACTGACTTACAGAGGCACTTTCCTGCAGATCTTTCTGAAGTATCTCAATTCTGCTAGTTTGCTCTTTGTTTGTAGCTTCCAATCTGGCATTTTCTATTTCAACTCTTAAAAGAAAATAAAACCCTACTTTAACTTGTAAACATTTATTGACTTATTTGAAATGTTCCATAAACGTTCTACAAATTGCATATACCTAATTGATACATAGTAAGTCCCCATTCTTCTGTCTAAAAATACAAGTTGAATACACTGTGTTAATTTTTACCTTTGTATATGTTCTTCCAAATGTTTTACAGCAGTATTTGCTCCTGATGATGCTAACAGCAAGTCTTGTAACTTCTGAGGCACCACACTCACTTCACTTTCCTTAGCATCCAAAGCACTCTTCAAATCCTGAATACACCTTTGGGAATGGATATATTGTTCTTCTGACTCTTGCAGCTGCATGAACAAAGAACCAAATGAAGGGGGGGGGGAATCTACTGGCAAACAGGTTTTAGCACTGAGAAGCCCTCTGCCCTCCCCTCACCCCATAGACCAAACTAATAAGAACAATGTGGATGAGTAGTAAGAGAAGGTTACTTCAAGAAAGTAATTTATTACATCACTAAAATAATGGCAACAAAGATTAGATCTGAAACACCTTCCACTACGGAACACTGACTGGCGTAAAGCCAGTTCCATTTCTCTCTCATTTTTACAGAGGTTTCTTGGATCACCTCTGTTTCAACCTGCACAAAATTCTATTGGGGCCAAATACATTGCCATTTACATTAGCTTGAACTCCATTCATATACTGTATTATTTTGTTCCCAAATAAGCAGGGCTTTAAAAATATGTAGAACTAAGTAAAGGACTGAAGATAAATGTAATAATTTACCTTAGATTTTATCCTTTCGATTTCCTTTTGAAGCTCCTGTTTATCCTCCTCTAAGTGATTACGATAGCGGGTTGTAACTTCAAGTGCAGCTTCTGACATGGACTGCTTTTTAAGAGAATCTGCCAGCTCTTGCTGCAGTTGTCTTAGTGCACCCTAACAGAAGCATTTTAATGAAAATGGTCAGAAGCAATTAAAAGTGCCTTTCTAGATTACAGTTATTTAAAAGAGAAATATGTTTGTCAATTTCAAGAACTTTGGTTCACTCAAAATGGAGTTTGCTTTAAAAGTCTGGTTCAGCCTGGCTGTGACCTGCCTTTGTAAAAATTGTTGTCTTAAGTCTCCTATGTTTCACACAGACATGTTGGGGAAAGCAAATATCTTTGCACCTGCAAGATAACATGTTCCCTCTCTGGCCTTGGCTTCTCTCATTAACATTCCAAAGCAATTAAGTCCTGTGGGAAGGGGGTGGTGGTGTGAAGCTGTAGATCACATCACCTGCTCTTCTGACATGACCAGAGCCCAATCTGTAAGGGAAGATCTTGTCTCACTAACCTCTTAGTGTTCTTTGAGGGAGTGAACAAACATGTGGACAAAGGGGACCCAACAGATGTTGTTTACCTTGACTTCCAGAAAGCTCTTGATAAAGTTCCTCATCAAAGGCTCCTAAGTAAGCTCAATAGCCATGGGATAAAAGGACAAGTCCTTTTGTGGATCAAAAACTGGCTGATTAATAGGAAATGGAGAGTGCGTATAAATGGGCAATTTTCTCAGTGGAGGGTGGTATCAGTGGGGTACCGCAGGATTCAGTACTTGGACTGATGCTTTTTAACTTGTTCATTAATGATTAAGAGTTGGGAGTAAGCAGTGAAGTGGCTAAATTTGCAGATGACACGAAGTTGTTCAGGGTGGTGAGAACCAGGGAGGATTGTGAGGCACTCCAAAGGAATCTGTTGAGGATGGGCGAGTGGGTGTCAACATGGCAAATGGGGTTCAATGTGGCCAAGTGCAAAGTGATGCATGTTGGAGCCAAAAATCCTAACTAAAAATAAACGTTGATGGGGTCTGAACTGGCAGAGACTGACCAAGAGAGAGATCTTGTAGTAGATAACTCAATGAAAATGTCGAGATAGTGTGCAACTGCAAAAAAAAAAACACAAAACCCAACGCTATGCTTGGGATTATTAGGAAGGGAATTTAAAACAAATCAGCCAGTATCATAATGCCCCTGTATAAGTCAATGGTGTGACCTCATTTGGAGTACTGTGTACAGTTCTGGTCACCACACCTCAAAAAGGATGTTACAGCATTGGGAAAAGTGCAGAATAGGGCAACTAGAATGATAAAAGGGTTGAAACACTTTCCCTATGAAGAAAGGTTAAAGCGCTTGGGGCTCTTTAGCTTGGAGAAACGACGACTGAGGGGTGACATGATTGAGGTTTATAAGATTATACATGGGATAGAGCAAGTAGAGAAAGGGTTACTTTTCTCCCTTTCTCACAATACAAGAAATCATAGGCATTCAATGAAATTGCAGTAGGGTTAGAACAGATAGAAGGAAGTACTTCTTCACCCAAAGAGTGATTAACATGGAATTTATTGCCACAGGTGATGATGGTGGCTACAAGCATGGACGACTTCAAGAGGGAATTAGATAAACATATGGAGCAGAGGTCCATCAGTGGCTAGCCACAAGGTATAGATAGGAACTCTCAGTCTGGGGCAAGTGATGCACTGTATTCTTGGTGCTTGGGGGGGGGGCAACAGTGGGAGGGCTTTTAGTGTCCTGGCCCCACTGGTGGACCTCCTGATGGCACCTGGTATTTTTGGCAACTGTGTGACAGAGTGTTGGACTGGATGGGCCATTGGCCTGATCCAACATTGGCTTTTCTTATGTTCTTACGTACAATGAAATCATCCTTTCCCTGATTGGCCTACTTGTATCTGGAAGACATTGCTTGAACCCTAATTGGTGCAGAGGCCTAGCAACCGGTTGGGATTCAAACGATAAATAAGCTACCTTAACATGTATTCAGGGGACATGATGGTGTTTGCATGTAAAGCTGACACGTAGCATCACTTTGCTCACTTCTGGCCAACTTGGAAGCTCTGACTGCTGAAGCCAACCAGCCTGGCATTGGGACTCTGGAGACAGAGTACATTTTGGACCCAGAACATTGAATGGGTAACATCTTGCTTTTTGAGAACCAAGGTTCTACAAGTGTTTAGCTAGTTTCTTAATCTCTAGTTTTATTGTTTTTCCTCACGGTAACCTTTTAAGTAATTCTGCACTTTTTATTATAATAATACTCTTTGCACTTAATATATTTTATTTACCAACCTCTGTTTCTGTCTCCACTGCTGCAATAATACAATCTGGTGCCTAGACTGGCGGTGTACTACCTTTAGAGTAACTTGTAGGTCTCCTGCTGTGAGTCAACCTTTAATACTGGTAAGGTTGGTAGTTTGGCTCTTGACTGGAGGGACCCAGAAGGACTGGTGGTAGCCCTACCAAATTAAAGGTATACAGGTGCCTTTAACACTCTTTGTAATTTTAGCTAGCCAGCCTCTTGAAGAAAGTCTCCAGCCCAGCTTGGGCAGGAGGGAGGCGCTCTTTGATAGTCAAGCTAATTTATAAAAGGTGCTAAATTAACAGTACTGTTACTGACCACTAGACATTAGATTCACTTCCTGTACAAATCAACCAAAAACACGTGGGCAGTTCATAGCATTTACTACCAATAGGAAGACAGTAAGCTTCCCGTGCCATTTATCTTTAACTTAGGCTACAGTTCTTAAAATACGGTGTACAATTAATCTGATCGGTTTCCTTCTGCAGTACAAACAGTAGTATCAAATGGTACACTACACAGTATTTCCTTCAGCCTCTAAAGGCAAGATGTGTGAATGCTCATTTGGAAGATGATACCACATGGACTAATCCTCTGTGCCCAAACACTGCTCCCAAGCTGCATTCATTCTGTTAGATGTTGTTACTGGAGAATTATACCCTCAGTATATCTTAACATTTAAATTAGTGTTGATGGATTATACTTACCTCTCTCTCTGCTTTTTCTGTTTCATATTTAAAGACTTGATCCCTTAAATTATTGCATTTTGCGGTTAACTCCTTATTCCTGTCTTCTATCATTTGTACTTGCTTTTCACTATCAGCTCTGAGTTTAGTAAAAATATCATTAAATCTATCTTGAACACTGCTCACTACTCTTTCTTTAATAATACCCTGGTTTTGAAAATCTTCAAGTTGCTGACGGAGTAAAAGATTTTCACTCTGGAGCTGTGCCAATCGTTCTTGCAAAGATTCCTGTTTTACCGCGTATTTGTTTATTTGATCCTTTTCCATTTGCCGTGCATTTTCAAGTTCCTTCACTTGACACTGGGCTTGACTTAGATCCCTTTGAATACTTTCAATATGTAAGTTCTTTTCTCGGAGTGTGTGTGTTACATGATGCAGTTCATTTTCTAGGCTATTCGCTTTGCTTTCAGTTCTACCCAACAGCTGAGACATGCTCTTGTTGGTCTCCTGTAGATTAAACAGATCTTGATTCCATTTGTCTTTTAAATGAACCCAGTCATCACGCTCTCGCTGCAGTGTTCGTTCAAGATCATTCTTTGATGCACTAGTCCGTTCTAGTTCCTGAGTGGTGAAATTCAAACGGGAACGAAATGAATCAAGCTCCACCTCCAGTCTTTCTTTGTCTTCTTTCATGTGCTCTAACTTAGAGTTTAGCATGACACATTCTGTTTTGGTTACGTTTATTTGTCCATTGTACTGAAGAACTGTTTGAGTCAAAGCCTCTTCATTTAGTTTCAACTCTTTTTTAAGTTCTTCGTTTTTTTCTTTTAGAGCTTCGTTTTCTTCTGAATACCTGGTTTCTTCTTCCCGATGCTGAACTCTTACCTGGTCAAGCTCTAGTCTTAATACAGCAAGTTCATCTTGGACAATTTGATTTTTGTATAACAGATCCTTTTCTTGGTCATGATGATCAGCCATCTGAATGATCCAGAGTACAGAAAAACAAAGTAAATGAAACTGCATTAAAAAAAGCAAACAACTCTAACTTGATTTTTCTTTCCCCCTTCATACTCAAACACGGAAATAAGTTACATTCTGGCAGAACAGACTTTGATCCTAGCTGCATCATAATATGTACAAATATATACTTATTTTTCAAGGTAACACTGTCATTGGCTACATTTTTACCAGGTATACATGCTACACATTGCTCATATTGTGCTCCAACCATGGGTTTCAGCTGGTGGAAAAAGGAGAATGTGATCCCCTTTGACCTCCAAAAGTGTCATGCTGGGGTTCAGGGGACCTTGATGGTCATGTGGGACAAAGGGGTACAGAAAGGAGGGGAATTAGTTGAGATTGTGAAAACGCTGACTGCATGCAACCACATATATCTTAAAACACACCTACAACACGTGAAGCACATAACAGAGAAGCAACAGCCCCAGGGCCAGGAACAAGTTGAGGGAGGCTTTTCACTAACTCCATGCTGGCACTGAGGAGACTACGGGGTGGGCTCCTGCAGCAGGTTGACACCAACAAATCAGCTCCTCTGGGGGCTGGCCAAAGCTCCAGGTGGACCTGGAGTAGGGAGGCTTCTGTTTGGTCTGCCCCTTGCAGAGGCTTCACTCTCTACTGTTTTCAGCTTGGAAGATCAGTGGTTGCAGTGGAGTTCTTCTTTTCTCCGGTCAGCAGCAGTGGTGGGGCTTCTCCTGCGGTGATCTTCCTCAGGCTTTCCCTTGGCATCTGGTCCTCCACTCCTGGATGCCGGGAGACCCATCACCCTCCAAGTCCTCATAGGGTTCCTGGAGCACTTCACAGATATTTGCTGGTCTGAGTTCAAGGCTACCCTTTTCTGCACTGCATTTATGGTGGCCTGGGGGTGGGGTGGACTTCCGCAGCAGCAAATTGCTCTCAGCTTCACGCCACAACAGCTCCAGGTACACCCTCGAGCTGGGGGACATTTCCATAGAGGGTTCCAGTCTCTTTATCATTTTGTACACATCTAAAACAAACCAGGAATGGTGTGGGTCCTGGATTTTCTATGCAGCTTCCTCTGAAAGGGGGTTCCGCATTAGGTCTCAAGGACTGCATACAGTTTGCATGGCTGGGCCACAGAGTGATGCACTGGGACTCTCTCGTATCAATGGTCTCCCGCCAGGTATTCTACCTGGGTTCCCTGGATGCAATCATCATTCAGCTTTGTGAAAAAGATCTTCCAGGCCAAAAAGGAGTTGATCCTGCCATTGCCATAGTGGTAGAATTGGGGACTAATTTCCAGGCTTCTGAACACACGACTCCTCTGGTTGGAACTCTGAAGCAGTGTGAATGGTGTGGTGCTATTTCCCCAGACAGGGTAGACATTGCTGGGAGAAAAGTTAGTGGTGGAACAGGGTGGCTTCATTATTTACCACCTGGACATTACCTTCATGCAGGTGGTCCTTTTCAGAGCTGATAGCATTTACCTCTCAGAATGGAGTATGGATATCTGGCTTAGTGACATTCATGATGGGTTGGTTTATTGGCTATGGTTGTAAGAGTTTGGCAGGAGCAGTGTGGCTTGTCCAGCTCTTGTAGTAGTTTGGGCTTCTGTCCAGATCCTCTGGGGGGGGGAGACACTGTGCCTGGATGCCCATCTCCCTTATTTTGGGAACCCCTTAGGGGGTCTTGGGGGTGGAAACATACAGCAGCATGCCCAGCTTAGGAGCTGTCAGCTGTCTCTCATCACCAGGTGGCAAATGAACCATGCAGTGGCTTGTGTCCATGTGGGATCCCCGGGTTTGCTACTCCATGGGCGAGCTGGGGAAATGGGGTGATATTGGGCAGCAGGCAGGTTGCCCAGTGCTGGATCTGTTCCTATGCTGCTCAATGCTCTTGCAGTTGACCTTAGGTTTTGCTTACAGATCTTGGATCTACCTTAAAGTATTCTGTGAGCTAACATGATAGTAAGACAGGTCAGTGCTATCCTTTTAGTCATATAGGTAGTGGAGGCAAGTCTGAGAGAGCAAGTGTCTTGCCTAGAAGCCCCTGCTAAAATCTAAAAACATGCTAAATTGTACTTATTTTCTCTAGTCTTATCCACAGAGTTATGCGCAGTGGGATGATGGCATCATGCTTGTCCATCCCTGCATTCACAAATTAAAGTGGGGCCTAACAATCGATTTAACTGCAAAAAGCCACATGTGTAGCACCAATCTTCCTGACCCTCAAAATATGAACAGTATACATCCTTAAAACCCATTACATGAATTGAGTCCAAACTGGGCCATACTTCCTTGATTCACATACATGAATGTTTAAGGTTGCACATCTGTCATACGCACTTTATGTATTTGCTAAGGGAAGCTACAGTATAACAGCGATGTAGCCACAACACACACAATTACCACACAAATCATGCAGCCACTCTGTTTCAGAGCACTTGGCAGAGAAATATCTCTATTCAATAAACAAACAATTCTGTGCTTTTTAGTTATTTACATGACTGGTACCTCTGAGCTTTTAGCGAATGTTCTTTTTGATTCGTCTTCCAATTCTTTTTGCCTCCAGAGATGGGTATTCAAAATACCCTTTTGCAGAGCTCTAGCATTCTGTTCTTGGGTGAGCTGTCGCTGTGTTTCATTATGATGTTCTTCAACCTGCAGCATGTATTTTGCATATTACACAGGATATACTATTCATTTTTTTTCAGTTCAAGGGCCCCAAATATGCCTGAAAGGCTGAAGTGTAGACCAGAGATTCCCCATGTGCTTCAGTGTCTGGAACAGTTTTTTATGCATAATAGGAGGCAGTCAGCAGTTAAATGAATGTGAAGTTTCTGTTTGAGCTCTAAGTAAAATTTAAAGCCACTGTATTCAGTCTAAGGCATTTTATTTACAAAACAGTTTGGTGATTTCTAGTACCAACTTTTATTAGGTAAGAAAGAATTTCCAGTGTTGCTACTATTGTCACTGGAAAACAAAGATTATCTCATTTCTTTTGAAAAGAATAGTAAGGCAGCCCCTTCCTCAGATTTGCATAGTCCTGTCCTGTGCTCAGAGGGAAAAAGAGGAAAAACCTAATCAGGGATCCTCCAATTTAATGAAAATGAGAGGGGTCAAAGTGTTTGGTCAAGCGAAAAATGCTTCATGAGAATCCAATACAATTCATTGCTACACAAATGCAACAAAATGCAAAGAGTATGCGTGACTATCAATAGGCCTGGTATCCAACTGATATAGGGATAAACCAAAGAATGAGCTTTGAACCTTGGGCCTAAAACAGTCCTCCCTACTCACTTCTTTTCATTATTGACAGATGATTATGCTAAAATTACAGTGAATTTATCTTAATTCTACCCCCTTTCTGCTATCTTGTTCCCAATCCCCTTCCTCTGGCAAATCTCCAACACAGCAGATAGTACCATCTTGCACGAATTCTAGCCAGTGATTACTCACTGCTGCTACATTACACTGTTCTTCCGCACTCTTGCTAATCTGCTGGTCAGCAAGGGACTTTGAACAAAAGACAACATTATTTCTGGAAGGGTGGCACCACATTATCAAAGTACACAGAATGTACCAGAATGTACACCTAATGCAAAAGACTTAGTATATTATCTGAATTAAAAATTAATTTTCAGAACTGATAGTATTGAATGCTGTGTTGTGCAATGCTGTGTACTCTAACCTGTTTCAAATGGTTTTTCAGAGTTCTCAACTCCATTTCTAGACTTCTCAGCATTAACTCTAGCTGCTGTTTTTCCTCCATCTCTTTATAGTACTGCTCTTCTTTCTTCCTTAACTGTTGTTGACTTTTCTCATATAGCATTTCAGCACTCATCTTCTTTTCTTCTGCTTGTTTCAAGGAAAATCTGTGATTTAAATTTTTTAAAAAGGTGCTTAAGAACATAAGAACATAAGAGACGCCAATGTTGGATCAGGCCAAAGGCCCATCCAGTCCAACAGTCTGTATCACACAGTGGCCAGAAATAGCAGGTGCCATCAGGAGGTCCATCATTGGGGCCAGGACACTAGAAGCCCTTCCACTGTTGCCCCCCTCCACAAGCACCAAGAATACAGAGCATCACTTGCCCCAGAGTCCCTATCTATGTGGCTAACAGCCACTGATGGCCCTCTGCTCCATATGCTTATCTAATTCCCTTTTGAAGCCGTCCATGCTTGTAGCCGCCACCACTTCCTGTGGCAGTGAATTCCATGTGTTAATCACTCTTTGGGTGAAGAAGTACTTCCTTTTATCCGTTCTAACCCGACCGCTCAGCAATTTCATGGAGTGCCCACGAGTTCTTGTACTGTGAGAAAAGGAGAAAAATACCTCTTTCTCTACCTGCTCTATCCCATGCATAATCTTATAAACCTCAATCATGTCTCCCCTCAGTCGTTGTTTCTCCAAGCTAAAGAGCCCTAAGCACTTTAACCTTTCCTCATAGGGAAAGTGTTCCAACCCTTTTATCATTCGAGTTGCCCTTTTCTGCACTTTTTCCAAAGCTATAATATCCTTTTTAAGGTGTGGTGACCAGAATTGCACACAGTATTCCAGATGAGGTCGCACCATTGATTTATATAGCGGCATTATGATATTGGCTGATCTGTTTACAATACCCTTCCTAATAATCCCCAGCATAGCATTGGCCTTCTTTATTGCAGTCACACACTGTCTCGACATTTTCAGTGAGTTATCCACTACAACTCCAAGATCTCTCTCTTGCTCAGTCTCTGCCAGTTCAGACCCCATCAATGTGTATTTATATTTAGGATTTTTGGCTCCAATGTGCATCACCTTGCACTTGGCCACATTGAACCCCATTTGCCATGTTGACGCCCACTTGCCCATCTTTGACAGATCCCTTTGGAGTGCCTCACAATCCTCACTGGTTTTCACCACCCTGAACAACTTCGTATCATCCGCAAATTTAGCCACTTCACTGCTTACTCCCAACTCCAAATCATTAATGAACAAGTTAAAAAGCAGTGGACCAAGTACTGATCCCTGTGGTACCCCACTGCTTACCCCCCTCCACTGGGAGAACTGCCCATTTATACTCACTCTCTGTTTTCTATTAATTAGCCAGTTTTTGATCCATAAAAGGACTTGTCCTTTTATCCCATGATTTTTGAGCTTACTTATGAGCCTTTGATGAGGAACTTTATCAAAAGCTTTCTGGAAGTCAAGGTAAATAATATCTATTGGATCCCCCTTGTCCACATGTTTGTTCACCCCCTCAAAGAACACTAATAGGTTAGTGAGACAAGATCTTCCCTTACAGAACCCATGTTGAGTCTGCCTCAATAGGTTTTGTTCATCTATGTGCCTACTAATTCTTTCCTTAATAATGGTTTCCACCAATTTACCCGGTATCGACGTCAGACTGACTGGCCTGTAATTTCCCGGCTCTCCTCTGGAACCCTTTTTAAAGATGGGAGTGACATTAGCTACCTTCCAGTCCTCAGGAATGGAGGCAGAGTTTAAGGAAAGATTACATATTTTTGTCAGGAGATCCACAAGTTCACATTTGAGTTCTTTCAGAACTCTCGGATGTATGCCATCTGGGCCTGGCGGGGGCTGACGTGGGCGGAACTACACAAAGCAGCCAGTCAACCCAGCCAGCGTCTTCTGACTGACAGTTCAAGCTTCCAAACACTGTTGGTGTGCATTGGAATGTTGGGCCCCACACACACACACACAGACACCAGCCTTCTTGTTTTTTGTATTGAGATATACATCTAATGCAGAGTTCTGGGGGCTGATAAAAGTTTTATGGCTATTTCTACGCTCCTATTGCTGCTGTTATCTTCCTTACAAACTGGCTCCATCAAAACTCCTATCATGTTGAGTGACCCTCCTATATACTTAACCAAGACCCCCCTTTTGTCCTTATGTCAGAATATCCCCCCACACACACACCTTTAATTCCTTTCCCAACATGGACCCTTGGAGCCTGACATTCAGATTTCTCTCTGGCTCAAGCTGACTCGCTTTAGGCATTTATACCCTTCTTTTCTCCTTATCTGGGCACTCAAAACTGCTTACAGAAATACACGCATACACACATTAAACAACCCAAAGCATCCTGCTATGGCTGGACTCTGGATCTTCCCCCCATCTCCTACATTCCCCTTTGTCTAATTTTGCTAGGGAGCCTGGGAACTGTAGTTCACTTTCCAAGAAACAAAGCTCAGCATAGCCAAAGTGTGGTGCTTGCTCACACCTGCTTGCGTATCTGCTGCCCTGCTCCTGGAGAAGCCGGAGGGGAGAGACACAGCAAGCATGGCTGACCCTGCTGTACTTAGTGCCAACCTCCCTTGCTCTCACTCAAGCAGAAACGGAGGTAGATAAAACAGCTGGGTTCACAGGCCCTCAGAGCAACCTGGGCTCAGGAAAATGTCATAACTCCTGTCTCCCCCTGCTGGCAGGCATGAGGCCTTCCCCGGATGCAGTGTGGACATTAGGGAATTCTCTTCCTTGAAAAATGTGTTGGGCTCCTTTTTCTTTTTCAAGGCAAATGAAAACATGTTCTTTTCGACATGCCCTTGGTAACTCATATGGTTTTATTTTGTTGTGCTTTTTCAGTTACGTGTATCTTTTAAAAGTGCTTTATCCACTGGGCTTTAATTTTTGTAACTATTTTAAGGGAATGTGGTATAAAAAAACTTCAGACAAAGTGCTGTGAATGCGGCCTACTATCATACACTGCTAAGCAGTTAACCAAACACTGACACATTCTGTAATGATTTAATCCTCCTTAAAACACTTGGTTTAAAGGAATTAGGCTATTCTAAATCAGTTTCTCTGCTTATGCATTTTTTACTTAGTTATACAAATCATCTAGTTTCCTGCAAAAGGATTAATAACATTCTTGATTCAATTTGTTTTCAATATTCCTTTTACAATTCTTATAGTATTATCACATAAAAGCACTTCCTGAAGACTTATTTAAGAGTTCTTACTTCAGACTGCTCATATCGCTTTCCCATTGTACTTTTTGATGATCCAGCAGAGATTTAACTTCTCTCATTTCTTCCAGTATTCTCTGCAGCTCCTTCTTCTCATTCTCAATTTTTTTAACTTTTCCTTGCAACTGAGCGTAACGTCCCTTTTCATGTTCAATTAAGCATTCATATCCATGAACTACATTCTGAATTTTCAGAAGACTTACAGAACCTGCTTTAGGGGGGGAAAAATCTAGTTTGGGCGTTCATGTACATTTATCTTTATAAAAATATTTAAAGCATGTTTAACTCATCTTTCTCTACTAGATTTATGTATATTTATATGCCCAAAATATCACCTCATTCAAAAGTAATACAAATTCAAGTCAAAATTAAATACAAATGCTACATTTGTTTATTTTTAATGTTAGCAACAAGTACCAGAGTTCCACAGATTAGGGTTGCCAGTCCCCAGGTCCGGGTGGGGGTTCACCTGCTTTTGGGGGCTCCAATTCACCCTTGGCTAGCTGGCCAGTGGGGGAAGCCCCACCCCCAAGCATGACCACCCACCTGGCCACCCCTCTCCCTCCCCTCCTGCCAGATTTAAAGGGCTTCAGTCGATCGGTGGGAACCACATGGCCCGCCGATCAGCTGTAGGGCTCTTTAAATCTAGCAGGAGGAAGGGAGAGGGCTGGTTGTGGGCCGCACGGTTGGCTCGTAAAAAGACTCTTTAATGGGTCTTTTTGCAAGCGGAGTGGAGGTCATGGAACACGGGGCTGATTTTCCCCAGCCCCACATGCTGTGGCTCCCACCACACTCGCAAAAAGGGTCTTTTTGCGAGCCAAGTGTGCGACCCGCGACTTCCCCTCTCCTTCCTGCTAGATTTAAAGAGCCCTCCAGCTGATCCTCCCTCATGGATCACTGTCTTGGAGTGATGAGGGGGCTTGCGTGGTTCGATGAGGCTGTGGGCTATGCCATGGAGGGCCACCAAGGACGGAAAGGCCACAGCAGGGAACTCAGACCAAGTGTGATCCACTGGAGAAGGAAATGGCAACCAACTCCAGTATCTTTGCCAAGAAAACCCCATGGACAGTAACAAAAGGCTAAAAGATATGACGCCGGAAGATGAGCCCCTCAGGTCGGAAGGTGTCCAATATGCTACTGGGGAAGAGCAGAGGGCAAGTACAAGTAACCCCAGGAAGAGTGAAGCGGCTGGGCCAAAACCAAAAGGATGCTCAGCTGAGGGTGTGTCTGATGGTGAAAGAAAAGTCCAATGCTGCCATTAACAATACTGCATAGGAACCTGGAATGTAAGATCTATGAATCAAGGTAAGCTTGATGTGGTCAAAAATGAGATGGCAAGAGTGAACATCAACATCTTGGGAATCAGTGAACTAAAGTGGACAGGAATGGACGAATTTAACTCAGAAGACCATTATATCTACTACTGTGGCCAAGAATCCTGTAGAAAAAATGTTGTGGCCTTTATAGTCAACAAGAGAGTGAAGAAGGCAGTAATGGGATACAATCTCAAAAACGACAGAATGATCTCGGTCCGAATCCAAGGCAAACCATTCAACATCACAGTAATTCAAGTCTATGCCCCAACCACTGATGCAGAAGAGGCTGAAGTGGACCGGTTCTATGAAGACCTACAACACCTCCTAGAACTAACACCAAAAAATGATGTCCTCATCATCATAGGGGACTGGAATGCTAAAGTAGGAAGTGAAAAGGTAACTGGAATAACAGACAAGTTTGGCCTTGGAAAGCAAAATGAAGCAGGGCAAAGGTTAACAGAGTTTTGTCAAGAGAACACACTGGTCATAGCGAACACCCTTTTCCAACAACCTAAGAGGCGACTCTACACATGGACATCACCAGATGGGCAACACCGAAATCAGATTGACTATATAATTTGCAGTCAAAGATGGAGAAGCTCTATCCAGTCAGTAAAAACAAGACCTGGAGCTGACTGTGGTTCAGATCATGAGCTACTCATTGCAAAATTCAGACTTAAACTGAAGAAAATTGGGAAAACCACGAGGCCATTCAGGTTTGACCTAGATCGCATCCCTGATGAATATACAGTAGAGGTGAAGAATAGATTCAAGGGTCTGGATTTGATAGATAGAGTGCCTGAAGAACTATGGACAGAGGTTCGTGACATCGTACAGGAGGCAGCAATCACCACCATCCCAAAGAAAAAGAAATGTAAGAAAGCAAAGTGGCTTTCTGATGAGGCTTTACAAATAGCAGAGGAAAGAAGGAAAGCGAAAGGCAAAGGCGAAAAGGAAAGATTTACCCAACTGAACGCAGATTTCCAGAGAACAGCAAGGAGAGATAAGGAGGCCTTCCTGAATGAACAGTGCAAAGTAATAGAAGAAAACAATAGAATGGGAAGGACTAGAGATCTCTTCAAGAAAGTTGGAGAAATCAAGGGAGCGTTCCATGCAAAGCTGGCCATGATAAAGGACAAAAACGGTAGGGACCTAACAGAAGCAGAAGAGATTAGGAAAAGATGGCAAGAATACACAGAAGAACTATACAAGAAAGACCTCGATGTCCTTGACAACCACGACGGTATAATCACTGACCTCGAGCCAGACATCCTGGAATGTGAAGTTAAATGGGCCTTAGAAAGCATTGCTAACAACAAAGCTAGTGGAGGTGATGGTATTCCAGCTGAGCTATTCAAAGTCTTAGAAGATGATGCTGTTAAAGTGCTGCACTCCATTTGCCAGCAAATTTGGAAAACGCAACAGTGGCCACAGGATTGGAAAAGGTCAGTATACATTCCAATCCCAAAGAAGGGCAATGCCAAGGAATGTTCAAACTATCGCACAATTGCACTCATATCACACGCTAGCAAGGTCATGCTCAAGATCCTACAAGCTAGGCTTCAACAGTACGTGGATAGAGAACTGCCAGAAGTACAAGCTGGGTTTCGAAGAGGTAGAGGAACTAGAGATCAAATTGCCAACATTCGCTGGATTATGGAGAAAGCAAGAGAGTACCAGAAAAATATCTACTTCTGCTTCATTGACTATGCTAAAGCTTTTGACTGTGTGGATCACAACAAACTATGGCAGGTCCTTAAAGAGATGGGAGGACCAGACCACCTCACATGTCTCTTGAGAAACCTGTATAAGGGCCAAGAAGCGACAGTTAGAACCGGATATGGAACAACTGATTGGTTCAGCATAGGAAAAGGAGTACGACAAGGATGTATACTGTCACCTTGCTTATTTAATATATATGCAGAGTACATCATGCGAAATGCTGGCCTGGATGAATCACAAGCGGGAATTAAGATTGCTGGGGAAAAGATCAACAACCTCAGATATGCAGACGATACCACTCTAATGGCAGAAAGTGAAGAGGACCTAAAGAGCCTCTTGCTCAGGGTAAAAGAGGAGAGCGCAAAAGTGGGCTTGAAGCTCAACATCAAAAAAACTAAGATCATGGCATCCGGCCCCATCACTCCTTGGCAAATAGAAGGGGAAGTCGTGGAAGTGGTGACAGACTTCACGTTCCTGGGATCCCAGATCACCGCAGACTGTGACTGCAGCCATGAAATTAAAAGACGCCTGCTCCTTGGGAGGAAAGCGATGGCGAACCTAAACAGCATGATAAAAAGTAGAGACATCACCCTGCCAACAAAAATACGCATGGTCCAAGCAATGGTATTCCCAGTAGTCATGTATGGCTGCGAGAGTTGGACTATAAGGAAGGCCGAGCGCCGAAGAATAGATTCTTTTGAACTATGGTGCTGGAGAAGACTCTTGAGAGTCCCTTGGACTGCAAGAAGATCAAATCAGTCAATCCTAAAAGAAATCAACCCTGACTGTTCCCTGGAAGGCCAGATAATGAAACTGAAGCTCAAATACTTTGGCCACCAAATGAGAAGGGAGCACTCACTGGAGAAGACCCTGATGCTGGGAAAGATTGAAGGTCAAAGAAGACGGGGACGGCAAAGGATGAGATGGTTAGACAGTGTCATAGATGCAACGAACATTAAATTGAGCAAACTTCAGAGGACGGCGGAAGACAGGAGGGCCTGGCGGGAGCTGGTCCATGGGGTCGCGAAGAGTCGGACTCGACTGTGCGACTGAACAACAACAGTGATTAATTTCTATCAGCTACTTCTCCATTGTTTACTTTAAATTTTCTGAGGCACTGGTAGTGACACTGAGGCCTGCTCTCAGACCTGTAGAGCCATGAGCCAAGGCAAGGCAAGCCCCTGAAGCACTAGCAGTAGTGTTCACATATTGCCTATTTAAAGAGCTTCTACCCTCTATCAGTTGGCTGGCTCTTTCAGGATTTAAAGAACTATCAAAATATCAAAATTTTCCCTCCTCTTGGTTTTGTGGGTCCATAATAGTTCTTCAGAAACTTACTGTAACTTCTGGGATGTTTTGTTTTAGAACGTGAAAATAATAAATATTAGCTGGAACTATTATCTAAAGCAACCTGAGATTCATACCAGTTTCACTGTTTTTTGGATCCCGAGCAGACAGATCAATTGTTATTGTAATATTTACTATCTGGTCCCCAATCAGAAATATTAGCAGGGTTCCCACTTAGTGAAAAAATTGATACTTCTTGTTATTACCAGATCTGCATGTATTCTAATTATTTATATTAACATATGCAGAATAAAATTATTACTGCTTGATAATCATAAATAGTGTACTTACCTGTGTTATCCAAACTAAGCTGTTCTATCAACATCTCAGCCTCTCTAGAGACTGATGCAGGCATAGTAAAATCCTCTGTAGCTGTATCAGAAGACTGAGTTAAGTCATCAAGAGTATTAGTAATGCCCACTGTTCTGGGAATCTGAATAATAAATACACAATTGATTAGAATTTGACACCACTGTGTATTATAACATCAGTCCTCATTTCTCTGTACTTTAAACCCACAATTCTAATGCCAAGAATGTGACATTGCCTCAGTTCAGTCATCATGAAACTCATAGTTTGTGTTGACCATATTTAAGAACCCAAATCATCACCTCAGGTTTCAAACATACATGCATTTACAGTTTAGACCGCCTTCATGGCATAGCTCAGTTATTTCCAAAACAGAGTCCCTGAATAATTTTCTACAGCATCCTGTCTTGGTGACTTGCTGGCAAATCAACACCACAGATGTTGCTCAATTGTCATGGGCTGGCTACTACAACAGGACAGACTAGCTGGGCTTTTGACACATCAGAAGCTATTGAAGTGGCATCTGACAGCACAAACAGGGAAAATTTCTGTCACAACACTGGCCTGAATTTCATGTCTAACCATAGTTTACACAAACCATGAACTGCAAAGCTCCTTCAGATCCTGGTTTGCCTACTGATTCTGGGGTGATGTCTCAATTGAGTCATGACATTTTCTTGCTATAAAGTTTCATAAAAATAATATCACCGCTTACAGTTTTATGCAAGTACCAGAACAACAAGGCAATATTTTGGTAGCATATTTTACCTTATTCTTCCCATTCATAGTTCTCGCTGATTTTCTAGAAAACAACCACAAAACAATTCATAAAACACAAAAGCACAAAAATAACATTTCAGTGTTATGGCATTTATTTGGTTTGCTTATAGACCATCTCTCTGAAGCCATTGACAAAATCGCTCCCCGACGCCCTCTCCTCTCCCATACCAAACTAGCCTCTTGGTAGAACATGGAGCTATGAAGGATGAAATGGGAGCTGAGACAGCTAGAGCGTGTATAGTGGCAGTTTCATGATGAAGCTGCAAGAACATCTTATAGGATGGTTATGAAATCCTATAAGATGGCAGTGAAGGTGACAAAGAAGAAATTCTATGCATCCTCCATTGCCTCCGCTAGTTCTCGCCCAACTCAGTTAATTAGAATAATTAGATCGTTAATGTCTCTTACTCAGGGTACTCAAAAAGACAGTAATTTGAAGATCCAATAACATCTATTAAGCATCTTATAAAAGTAATTCAAGGATATGGCCAAGTAGCAGGTCTTAAAATTAATTTCAGAAAGACAAATATATTAACTAAAAATTGCACACAGAAACAGATAACAAGAAATTTCCTCCATGGAGACGCCGAACAAAGTCAAATACTTAGGTGTAGCATTAACCAATAGAACTAGTACGTTAATAGAAGATAACTATAATAAACTCTTGACAGAAATTAAAAAAGAACTTCAAAAATGGAAGGATCTTAAATTATCATTTATAGGCAAGATAGCAACAATAAAAATGAATGTTCTTCCCAGATTTGTTTTTAGCTCAAAACGTACCCATTTTAAAAACAGTACAATATTTTAAAGACCTTGACAAAATTTGTAACCAATTCATTTGGAGCGACCAAGAGTGTGGAGGGGTGCCCTCCTGTTTTATGTCTCAGCTCTCCCTGGCTCCCCAACTGTTTGCTATCTTATGCTTGACCTTGTAGATGCTACAGCTGCAGTTTTTCCCGGCTGGGAAGGTTAACGGCTTTTGCTTTGCCTGCTTGCTTTGCCCATGCGTGAGAGATGTATCCATTGGCTCATGCTTACCGGGGGGATGTTTGATTCTAGTATAAGTCAGAGGCCCTAGTATTGGCAGCCACTCCTGACACAAGCTGTACACGTGTCTCTAGTACTGGATCTACCAATAAACAGTTATCTTCTCATGAAGCCCTGTGTTGCATAACCTGACTAAGGAGCCTGACAGAAAGTCTGCCTGTCTTGGAGTTTGAGTCCAGTGGCACCTTGAAGACCAGCTTTATAACTTCCTGTTAGATGACTATATGCAAGATGAGGCTGTTAAAACAACGATGATGTCCTGGATGCAAGATATAGGACATAGCACAGACATAGAACAATGGTCCAAAATATGGCACATAACGAAATTTATGAGAGCAATATCATATAAAGAAAATATCTACAAAATGTTTCACAGATGGCACTGGTCCCCAGACAAAATAGCCAAATGTTATCCTAATGCATCAAACAAGTGTTGGAAATGTAAAACAAATGTGGGAACATTTTATCATATATGGTAGAGATGTGGGAAAGTTCAAAATTTTTGGCACAAAATACATAAGATAATACAGAAAATACTGAATATTGATCTAGATTTTATACCAGAAACTATTTTGTTGAATATGATCCCCAAAGGTTATAAACAAAACAAGTTGTATTTACTAACTTACATTCTAACATCAGCTAGAATCTTAGTGGCTAAATGTTGGAAATCGGAGAGGATCCCCTCAAGAGATGAAATACTTCTGAAATTGTTGGAGCTAGCAGAAATGGATAGGTTGAATGTTGTTTTACAAGGAAAAGATGAAGAATTGTACTTAAAACGATGGGAGAGTGTATATACATGGATAGATAATAAGTGGGGAAAATAGACTCACAATTGTTGTATATGCAAGATGTCGATATGTTTGACATATATATGACAGTAATTTGGCAATCAGCTGTGAGGACTTTGCGAGCTATTTTGTGGATAAAATCTTGTCACTCTGCCATGCTCTGCTGGCCAATATTGATACAGTATGGGAACTGGAGGCCCCCTGGCTGTCTTCAGATTCAGTACTGAACCACTTCAGCCAACTCTCCCAGGATGAGGGTGACAGGATCCTGAGTGCTCTGAACCCCACCACTTGCCTCCTAGACCCATGTCTGTCATGGCTGGTGAAGGCCAGTGGTGACGGAATACGGATCCCCTTGGTGGATATCATCAATTTGTATCTGTGTTCAAGGACCTTCCAAGGGACTTTAAAGGAAGCTGTGGTGAGGCCGCTCTTAAAGAAACCATCTCTGGATCTGAATGACCCAGCCAACTACCGCCCAGTTTTGAATCTTTTGTTCCTGGGTAAGGTAGTTGACTGAGGCAGATGGACATCTCTCAGTTGAAAGCAGACTTGCCTGTCAGCTTTGAATGTTCCCCTATTGATCCTTCAATAGCTGGAAAATCCCACCCCAGCTTTTCAGTGGAAAACTACATGGGTGGGAGAGCATCTGAGAGCTTCCGAGCTGGACTGAGAAACTCGGACACTTCCAGGTCTGAACATGTGATCTTCAAATCAAACCACCTGAGCCTTGAACCAGCCAAAATCAAGGCTGAACTTTAGCTCAGTGTTCGGGTCTGTGCCCATCCCTATGCATAATACATGTTATAGTATCTTGGGATCTGTGAAGGCCACTACTTATACTCTGGACATTTGCTGATCCTGGCTGCTAAAAACATGTAAGGACCAAATCAATGAGCCCTTGGTGTCCATCATAAATCAGTAATTAACTCAGGGCACCTTCCCTGAGCCACTCAAAGAAGCAGTTATCCATCTTCTACTTTTTTTAAAAAAAGTGCTGGCCTCAGGCTTTTTGATCTGCTGGTTGCCTTGAGAGCCAGGACTTACCCTGAAGATTATCACTTGGCAGGGCCTGGAGCATAGACACAAGCAAAGGCTGGAGCAGGCAAGGTTGGGAGCTGGATAGAGCATACAAGGGTTGTGGCCTTGTGAACTGGTTGGTCTAGCAGCACTCCCTTCCTTGCCCTCAACTTAAATATACTGAGAAAAAGCAGCTCCAGCTGTTCTGGAGGAGGTTTCTGGAACTCTCCTGTTAAGGTTTAATTAGGCCAGAATCCTGCAGAGTACCAGGCTGAACCTGCCAGTTTGGTGTAGTGGTTAAGTGCGCGGACTCTAATCTGGGAGAACCGGGTTTGATTCTCCACTCCTCCACTTGCACCTGGCTGGATGACCTTGGGCAAGCCATAGTTCTGATAATGAGCTGTTCTTGAAAAAGAGCAGTTTCTGTCAGAGTTCTCTGAGCCCCATCTACCTCACAGGGTGTCTGTTGTGGGGAGGGGAAGTGAAAAGGAGTTTGTAAGCCACTCTGAGACACCTTTGGGTAGTGAAGGGCGGGGTATAAATCCAATTTCTTCTCTTCTTCTGCTAACATGGCAGTGCATCTCCTCTCAGCTATCTTGGCAAAAGCCTACAGTCTCTGCTGCTCTTGCAGGGTGGAGGGGGATTCTGTTGTGCTCATGGGCGAGGACTCAGCTGGTTTATGTTGTCCCAGAAACTGGGAGGACAGAGGGAAATTCTGGTGGCTAAGCCTCAATTGAAGGTTCCTTAGCGGCAGCCTCTGGAACATATGGACCACAGTCATCTATCATGCAGTGGTCCTCCCTAGGTTTTCTGCTCTCCCCAGGCCATGTTTCAGGCTGCTCAAGCTCCTTCTCTGAGGCATCAGAATCCAGAGCCACTTCAGAAAAAGGATTTATGCCCAGTCTCTAATCTACCCTTTTTGGGCATAGTGATTCAGAGAACAATAGCTGACCAACTCTAGGTCTTCTTAGATAACTCATCTGCTCCAGACTCTTTTCAACACGGCTCTAGGTGGAGCTATGAGACAGAGACAGTATTGGTGATTTTGGTTATGACCTCCAACTGAACATACACACAAATGCCATGCTTCTTTGTTGCTCCCAGTGGACTTATTTACAGCCTTTTATACATTGGACCATGCCATCTTGTCGAGGCAGTGAGAAAGGAGTAGGTATCAGGGGATGTGCTCTGGACTGGTTCAAAATATGCCTCACAGATTGGATTCAAAAGGTTGCTTGTCATTGAAAACCATCAGTGTGGGACCTGTCCTGTGAGGTTCCACAGGGAACTGTCCTATCACCCATTCTATTCAACCTCTACCTAAAGCACTTAAGGACAAATCATTCATAGTTTGGGGGCTGGGTGTCATCAATATGCTGGTTTTGTGGTTTTGATGATTAAGGGAACATTTAGACAATACAAAAACAAGAGCTTTTCTTTGCAACCATAGAGTAAGAGAAGATTTTGTAATCATACTTGTATTTGTCACAGAGAATATCGGAAGCCTCTTTTACTTTATATAGTTTTTCGTCTTCTCTTTTTGTTATTTTCTATATTTTGTCATTCTTTCTTCTAATAAAAACTTTTAAAATAATATAAATAAATATTATGTACTAAGATACATACTTACCTATATTGTCAATTATCTAAATTACAGTGCTTTTTCTAAAAAACCACAAAGTCAGTCTGGGGTAACTATTTATCTCCCCCAGCCACTACCTCCCCCCTCTATCCCAAAAATAAATGCTTAAAATTCACAGTACCAGTTCACCATGTCTACAGACAGAGCATAAAGCATGATTAGTCTATTTACCACATTTTTATCCTACCTTTCTGCTGAGGAGCTCAGAGTAGCATATAACATTACCACTTTGTTTATCCGCACAACAATTCTGTCAAGTAGGTTGAGGAGACTGAGTGATGACCCAAGATCACCCAGTGAGCTTCACAGCAGTCTGGGCATTTGAACTCTGGTTTCTCAAATCCTACCTCAATATTTTCATCACTTCATGATACATTTAGCCTGACTTCAAAATAAAGAAGATAAATAAAACAACAACATTGTGATTCTTAGTACCTCACTTCTTCCACAGATGTTTCACTCAAACTGCTATCATCTTGTAGCTGATGCGGATTTTCACTGGTCTGCTGACTGGCCCGTTGTTTTGAGATCCGCCTTTTGTTTTCACTTTTTCTCCCATTCTTTGTGCTGACAATAGGAGTTTTGTGAAGAAAACACAGCGTTTGGGAAAGTGCCACTGAAATATTCTGACACAACATAAAAACTACATCCAAGAGTGTTAAACTGGAAAAACAGATGATTCCCATTCTCCTAACGAAGAATGGAAACAACCTGGAAGCTGAAAATTGCTTCCTGTCTTCTGATCCTGATGTAAGGAACTACCACGTATCAATGGTACTTCCCTCATCACACAGCAAGCTGCTATTTTCATGTGTTTGCTCCTTTCAGGCCACTACATCTTTTTATATAATGAATGCCATACAGGAGGCTGCCTGAAAAGCTTCTGAACATGACACCTTGTCTAACACTTTGAGACAGCTGCATGGAACAAAGAGAGGTAAAGGAACAAGGATGAGTCACTAATTGGTGACTAAACCACACTAGATTTCCACATGTGCTGTTGTATCATTGAGTTGTCTAATCCAAACTTAATGGGAACATGTTCCCAGCAACGTTACTATAAATGCTAATGTAAATTTCTGAAAGATACAACATATAGTGATGACCACCTGCAAACAGTTAATAGATACTGACTGGTTTTGGACATGGGGAAACTCACCTGTTAAAATGTGGGTATTTACCATGTTTGTTATTTGCATATTCATACTACAGTTGTGTCAACAGTTTGTCTCAAGTATGCCAACAATGTAAGTTAAAATACATAATAGTCCAAGGCATTACCATGCTAAACGATTAAAATAAACCACTTTTCAGGACAATAGTTGAGGACTGACATTAGAGTTCACACTTACCTCTTGGCAGGTAGTTGAATTAATTCCCTCCTTTCCACTGAGGAAATTATGTTTTTTACTTGGCTTTGCCCTAACATTTCTCCTTTTGATTCAATACACTGATTTTCCTTTACAGTAAGCTTTTCTTCCACTTTCTGTTCAATAGTATTCACACCCAAACTTTTGTCAATAGCTGAATTTTCATTTTTTCCTGCAGCCTCTAATTCCTCCCATTTGTGCTTTTGTTTTTCCTCTTCAACCTAAAACAATGACATCGCTCAATATATTTTTGTAGGCAAGCTAGCGGAAATATCAGTGATCATAAAAAGTTACATGTTCTGTTATTTATTACAACTTACGGCCACACTAAACAAACAGATTCACCCTTAGAAAGAAAACACTCATTCATTATGAAACTTGTATGTTAACAAGAATTAGTAGTGTAAAACATATAACAGGAAAAAACTCCATTAGTGACAGGAAAAAAAAAATCAGGAACACACATCATCTAGTTATGAAGAGAATTCTCATCAATAGCGTGTTCAACAACAATGTAACGAAGAAAGAGAAGTGCTTCACACAATAAAGTGAAGGGTGCTAAACAGGAATGAGAGTAATGGAAAGATGAACAAGCTCTTCAGAAGCCACTTTCACATTTTGGAACAGACTCATGAGACTGTGGGTGTGGCCCTGACCAGGATGCCCCAAGGTAGCCTAATCTCGTCAGATCTCAGAAGCTAAGCAGGGTTGGCCCTGGTTACTCCTTGGATGGGGGACCACTAAGAAGTCCAGAGTCGCAATGTAGAATCAAGCAATGGGAAACCACCTCTGAATGCCTCCTTGCCTGAAAAACCCTATGGGGTTCCCATAAATTGGCTGCGACTGGACAGCACTTTTCACCACCATAAAATGGGAGCAGTTCATCAGTCATAAAGTTGCACCTTCTGAAAACTTGAATCACATGGGGTCTTTTAATGTTAACGTTATATTTGTTAACATTTTGAATTAAGCTCTCTTAAATCAGCTTCTATACATCAAAGAAATATATATATATAATCCCTCTTAATTTCTGACCCACTTTAGAAGCATTGCACAAAGCCCAGAAGAAAGAAGGCTTTCCAATAATACTGAAGAGGTGAAATGAACAGGATGGCAGAGGTGTGAGAAAGACCAGAGAATGAAAAGCAGCAGATATTCCTCTACCTCTTTCTGTAGTTGGGCCTTTTCTTTCTCCAAAGCCAGGAACGCTGTCAGCAGCATTCCTACCTCATTCTTAAATCTCACAACATCACATTCTAGTTCTTTATCCAGTTCTTTTGATATCTGGCGGCAGGACTGTTCAGCGTTTTTAACATTCTTCCCAATTTCAGTCTCAACATCTTTATAATTGCTGACTGCAAAGTCTCTGGAAACACCACTGTAAAATGGGTGTAGGCTTTTTTGCGCTGCACTTTTCGTTATATCAGAAAGCATTTTTGCATTGTCTGTGAAGGCAGGCCTTCTGGTACATGCTGTAATCTTCCCCACATTTGTTCCCACTTGTACAAGTGTATTGTCTTTTCCTTGTCCATGTACACCTGCTTCTGTTATTTCTGACAACATCTCATTCTTTGAACTCTGGTTTCGATGAACATTCTGTTGACCATTTTCACACTGCTTAGGAAGAAACTTTTGAGAACTACAATTTATAGGATATGAAGTTACGTTTTCTGTGCTGAATTTTTTCCCTGCAATGACAGAGTTTAAATTTCTAGAATCGCCCTTGTCTTGTATGTCAATGGTAGCTTTAGACTGAGGGAAGGATGGCAATTCAGTTAGGCCCTCCAACACACCACTGAAGCCATCTTGTGATCTTTCTTCCATAGGAGTAATACTTTCTCCCCCTTTTATGTCAATTTCACCAAACTTCTGCTTTAGTTCTGCTGTGATGCTCTTAAAACAGGTTTTGATTTCCCTTTTTTCATTTGTAACCCACATTTTTTCGTATCTTTCTTCCCAGAGAGCTGCATCACACTGATTGAAGTCACCGTCTGATTCTTCAATATGCATTGCTGTTTCAGTTTCCTTTTTCTCACAAGCGAACGAAACCTCTGCCTTGTCAGTCTGATTTTCAAGTGATGCCTTTTCTATACAGTTGCATGCGTCTACTACATTTTTATCCTTAGGCAAGCCAGGTAGGGGTAGGGGAAAAAAAAGAACTATACTTACAAAATTATGCTATGGATATCATACAGACACCTTGGTGACTATTTTAACGAACAACAACAGGATGTTAACATAATTTCACAACCTTAGGCTGAATCCAAAAACTGTGAGAAGAGTTTTGCTAACAGAACAGATCTTTCCTACTTAAATTCCTTGCTGCAGCCACAGCCTCACAAAAACCACTCCTGAGAGTACTGGAGCCTTTTTAACAGTGTGGTGCATGGCACAGGAGACGGAAACTTGAGTGGAAAACCCATGGAACTTGTGGACTACTCCCCCCAAGCAAAGCATATACAGCCAGCTTTGATACTATCATGTATATTTTGATAAAATATGTAACAGACATTTAGGTCTATTGCAGTATCATGAAAATTAAGAAATCATTGTTCTCCTCACATAATGTATACACACCTGCTGTGTTTCTGTAACTTCAAAGATGTGTAAAACTTTAACTTTCTCAAAAACTATCTTTTAGAGACATACAATTTTATTCCAAAAAGTTTGAGGTGATACTGAATACATTATGGCTTGCTTATTTAAAGCAGCAAGTCTTATTAATTGACTGGAAATCAAATGCACTAAATAATTTTCCATCTTCAGATTAAGTTTTGATGGTGGATCATGTACTGTCCGTGTCATCGGATAGCATCTACATTGAGAATGCAGCTTTTGTAGGGATCATGGCTGTTAACAACACAGAAAAGAACGTGCTTGGATGAGTTCATCCTAAGTGTGTGCAGACTGTTGTCAGCATCATGGAGGACAGAAGAACATTAGGCTGCTTGCCACAGCAAGGGCAAAATGTGGAACCACAGGAATATTTCAACAAGCATGGTTTATTGGCAGGGTCATCTAAGCACAACAGGTGTATACAGCTAGACTCTCCAGCTGCTTGGTCTCTCCCTTAGCCTTCAGGGAGAGAGTTTTTTAAAAAATAGATGTTTAATCAGGGAGCTAAGGGTAAAGATGTGGAAACGTAGCAGAGGTTTATCAGACTGGAATATATGGGATTGCAGGTAGGGAAGGCAAGGTAGATGTTAAGTTTGATAGGTGGACAAATTTGTATTATGCATTTCATGAATCTGATTAAGTTGTTGATAAGCAGTAGATGGTAATGTTATGAAGGAAAGATTGAAAAGTACTTTATAGATTATTTAATTATGTATAATTCTGTTGAAGTGTATAGGCTTTTTTCTTCTGTTGTTATGGGTAATGAGGTTTTTTTGTGGGATTTTTGGTATTTGTTGACATCGTTACATCAATTATGTTAGTAATATTTATAGTGATAAGAACATAAGAACATAAGAACATAAGAGATGCCAATGTTGGATCAGGCCAAAGGCCCATCCAGTCCAACACTCTGTCACAAAGTGGCCAAAAATACCAGTGCCATCAGGGGGTCCACCAGGGGGGCCAGGACATTAGAAGCCCTCCCACTGTTGACCCCCCCCCCCCAAGCACCAAGAAGACAGAGCATCACTTGCCCCAGAGCCCCTACCTATACCTTGTGGCTAATAGCCACTGATGGACCTCTGCTCCATATGCTTATCTAATTCCCTTTTGAAGCCGTCCATACTTGTAGCCGCCACCACTTCCTGTGGCAGTGAATTCCATGTGTTAATCACTCTTTGGGTGAAGAAGTACTTCCTTTTATCCGTTCTAACCCAACCGCTCAGCAATTTCATGGAGTGCCCACGAGTTCTTGTATTGTGAGAAAGGGAGAAAGTACCTCTTTCTCTACCTGCTCTATCCCATGCATAATCTTATAAACCTCAGTCGTGTCACCCCTCAGTCATCATTTCTCCAAGCTAAAGAGCCGCAAGCGCTTTAACCTTTCCTCATAGGGAAAGTGTACCAACCCGTTTATCATTAGATTTGCCCTTTTCTGCACTTTCCCCAAAGTAAGCCTGTTCTTTCAGGGGAAAAACCCCAAGACAAAATAGGCATAGAGCCTTTCTGCTTTCTCTCTGTCCTCTGATAGAGTTTCTCCATTTTCACCCAACAGTGGGCTTATTGACTCTTTTACCTTGTGTTTGCTCCTCATGTATCTGAAGAACATTTCTTGTTGTAGTGAGCCTCCCTGGACACCCTTGTCTCACTCTAAGCTTTGTCATCTCTGATGGCTGACCTACAGTCCCTAGCAACCCGCAGACACTCTTCTTTAGTAGCATGCCTGTCCCGGGGGCGACCGGGACCGCCCCCGGGGACTCCCGGGGACGGCGGGAGAAGAGCGGAAGAACGACCCTGCCCCTCGGCCAGCCTGTCACCTGCCCGACGCCGCGACGGTCGCTGCCGCGACGCCCGCCATCAGGACGCCACCCGCACCAGAGGGAGAAGAGCCGTCGGTGGGAGGAGGCGGCGACGGAGGACGCAACTCAGGCGGTGGCCGCTTGAGTGGCCGCCCGGGAACGGGCGTGCGTGCCAGAGCCCGGCCTCGCGCAGCGCCAGCAGCTTGTCGGGGCTCCTCCGGAGACGCCGCCGCCCTGCAGGCCTGCACCCGGAAGGAGGGGGCGGGGCCCAGGGGGGTGTGGTGGCATCTTCAGTTTTAGAGGGAGGCGGGGCTGTGATGCTGGGAGCTCTGGGAGGTTCGGGAGCAATAAAAGCACGCACAGGGCGAACCGGGGAGGATTCCCTGAGCTGGCTTACTGAGTGGCAGTCCTGGTGAGCGAGAGAGAGCATTTACAGGCTGCTAGTGTCAGTCTCAGGCAGGCCAAAGAGGGTGACGTAACCCTCTGACGGGCCTGGGTCTGAGGTAAACCCTGAAAGAGCGTGCTTTGCTCCGGGCCGCCCAAGCGTTCCCAGCACCTTCGCTCCCGTCCTGAATTCGGGGAGGACCCCCCCTTTCTTGGAAGGCGGCACGGCAGAACGTGGCAACCCCGGGCAGGGGAATGGAGAGCGCGACAAGGGGCATTATGATATTGGCTGATCTGTTTTCAATACCCTTCCTAATAATCCCTAGCATAGCATTGGCCTTTTTTATTGCAGTCACAAACTGTCTCGACATTTTCAGTGATCTCTCTCTTGTTCAGTCTCTGCCAGTTCAGACCCCATCAATGTGTATTTATATTTAGGATTTTTGGCTCCAATGTGCATCACCTTGCACTTGGCCACAATGTACCCCATTTGCCATGTTGACGCCCACTTGCCCATCCTTGACAGATCCCTTTGGAGTGCCTCACAATCCTCACTGGTTTTCACCACCCTGAACAAATTTGTATCATCCGCAAATTTAGCCACTTCACTGCTTACTCCCAACTCCAAATCATTAATGAACAAGTTAAAAAGAAGTGGACCAAGTACTGATCTCTGGGGTACCCCACTGCTTACCACCCTCCACTGAGAAAATTGCCCATTTATACTCACTCTCTGTTTTCTATTAATTAGCCAGTTTTTGATCCATAAAAGGCCTTTCATCCCATGATTTTGAGCTTATTTAGGAGCCTTTGATGAGGAACTTTATCAAAAGCTTTCTGGAAGTCAAGGTAAACAATATCTATTGGGTCCCTCTTGTCCACATGTTTGTTCACCTCTTCAAAGAACGCTAACAGGTTAGTGAGGCAAGATCTTCCCTTACAGAACCCATGCTGAGTCTGCCTCAATAGGGTTTGTTCATCTATGTGCCTACTAATTCTTTCCTTAATAATGGTTTCCACCAATTTACCCGGTATCAACGTCAGACTGACTGGCCTGTAATTTCCCGGCTCTCCTCTGGAACCCTTTTTAAAGATGGGAGTGACATTAGCTACCTTCCAGTCCTCAGGAATGGAGGCAGATTTTAAGGAAAGATTACATCTTTTTGTAAGGAGATCCACAAGTTCACATTTGCGTTCTTTCAGAACTCTCGGATTCTATTGATATTTATGTTTAATATTTTATATTCTGATTGACATGAAAAAATAATTGATTAAAAATGGGGGGGGGGAAGTAACCAAGGAAGTTCCCATTCAAGTAAAACAATCCAAATCTTCCTGCCTTGTAGCTGTATACTAAATATCAAGCAACTCATAGGTATAATAAATTTCATGTTTGCGCATACACAGTATCAGTGTTTCTCATAGTTAGCAATACAAAAGAAAAGGCCTAAAGATGATGGTAATTTGTTCTCAGGAAGCCCAGATCTTCTCGTTTCTTGAAATGTTTTGCAAATTTAGGAGGGAATGGGCAAGGATGAGAAACTTGGGTAAAAGTAAGGGGGTAGAAGAGAGAGCAGCAATATAGGGGTGGGAGGCAGAGGCTTAAATAACGTCATCCCACTGAATGAAGCCTTTAAACTTCAAAATAAATCACTGCATGGCATAGTGTTGATATTAGCCACAGATACAACCACAAGAGTCAGTAGTCACATTAACCTCTTCGTCTACTGACCTTGTTCTCATCTTTTTCAGTTTCTTGGATGTCCTCTTGTTCATTGCACTGCTTCCCTGCAAATACAATGGAGGAAGGTATTCATGACTGTTATCATTTGTACACTACCCCTTACTCTGCAAACAACGTAACACCATTGTCAAGGCACTTCACTTAAATATTTCAGATGTCAGACTGAGGTATTAACATTCATGAAACCAAAAGATACCCGAGCAAATACATACTGCACAAGACTAGGAAACAGGAATTAAATAAAAAAGAATATAAGTGGGTTCCAGTTCCTGGTCTCTGGATCATAAATACACACAGGTTTGAACATATGTGACTGGCAAATGGAAGTATTAAAAACACTCACCTGTTCACACACTAACAAATTTTATATATATTATTACAATGGCAAGGACATTGACAATTAATCTTATAAAAATATAAAAGCAGCATCTAATTAACTGTTTTTGTATTTTTCAGAGTTTTAGAATTTTCTCCTGGATGATTGTGCTTGTAGTCTTCTCTATAATTGCCAGTTTCTAAAGCAAAAGAGAAACCCAATCTGGCCTTAAACTAGTATAGGATCTTTCTCTGCAAGACATTTTCTACACATACTGCAGAATCAACTGTACTATTTCAGGCTGCAGGCAGAGAATGTCAGTTTTGAACGACCTCCTCTTTTTGAAAGCTTTCTGCAGGTAAATAAAGGAGTTAGTATGAAAAAGATACTAGTTTTAAACCACACTGCTTCTTACATGTTAATTTCTTTTCAGGGTGGGTGGGCAGTTTGTTGGCTTACGAAGCATTAAAAAAAATGTGAGCCCTACCTGCAGCTTGATATGCTATACAACATGCTACCATTTCAGGACTCTTCCACCTAATTCAGTTACATGTAATGTCTAGGCCAAAATTTCTTAATCTTGACTACATTCTTCACTAGAATATGAGTAGAAAACTCTGGAATTTCAAGTAATTATGACCAATTCAAGCTTCTGGATTTGGAACTTTGGACTTCTTCCTATTAGAATAGGGTTGTCTGAAGTAATTTCCGAGCTCAGAATTACATTGCAGCTCAAAATACACAATGTCAGGTGCCTTGTGGTCTATTTTATTCTATAAAGTGGAAAAGAATTAAAGATGCAGTGTGGGATTCTGGTACAGTACCCTCAAAATATTTCAGGCTGGAAACCGAGGCCCAAGTCTACTCAATTCCTTCTTCCCAGCACCATGGAAGAGAACCAGCAAGTAGAGTACCTTCTGCGCTCTGTTCTGTTCTTGGTAACGGTAAGATTACCAAACCAATTACAGAATCAGCTGTCAAAATATACCTCATATAAAAGAACAGAAAAGGAACAAATTCTGGCTTCTAATAAAATGTACAAATTCATGTCAGAATCAGATGAAGTAGGGAGGAGAGAGAAGTAAAAAGGAGCATACTCCCCGACCTCCTTCCCACTATAGTTAATTAACAAAATAGCTTAAAACGATTCAATTAGCACAGTTATCTAGTTTCAGTCCTTGAAAGCCACCATTTATAAATCTATCTTGATTCCATTAAAAATCAACTCGAGTAATTTAGAACAAGGGGGCCAGGGAGAAAATATTGTAAAATATTTTGTTTGCTTTTTAGTGTAGAAGCAGATCTTGTTATGAAAATGTGACCAACTACCTTCTAAAGGAATTACTGTTTGAGCATCAGGCAGTTTGACTCCCACAGGAATAATTTCTGATTTTTTGGTTGGAGCATCATTTCTGCCATTATCTTCCAGCACAAGGTGATACAAAGGGTTAGCACAGGGTACACTTTGAAGTGAAATGCTGGTTGAATCCCAGTCGGACTCATCTGAAAGAGTGGAGATTATTGTTTTAGATCAAAACAGTAAACACCTACTGCTGGTCCTCTTAACAGACAGTTTAATTTCTATAAACCCTGCCTTGGAGCAAGTAGGAGGCATAACCCAGAGGAAGATGACTTCCCCCTATTGAATGGGGAATGAACTGCAAGATCCACTGTAGTAATAAAAGAAGCTTTTCTATACAAAGAAGTTAGAGACACTGGTCAAGTTCATATTTTTAAATGTGGAAATATAAAATTGGGTAGCTTTGTAATGCTCTCCATTAATAGAAAGCTAACAATTACTGCTCCAAATTCTTCTATGGCTCACAGAGTGTATATCTGACTCAGATAAGACCTTCCTCATGCTTTCTTTCTCAGCCTCATCCCCACTTACCGGTTGTAGTGGTGCAGCAAGACAATCCCCACCTCTCAGTTCCCCAGCACTATGGGATAGATGGTAGCACAGGTGGATTATATTCTCCAGTGTACTCTGGGAATACTTCTGATGCTGCTGATTAAGGGGAAGGATGGAAGGGGGCGGGGTGTCTGCTCAACACCAGCAACAAGTAAGTGGGACAAGAAGGAGGAGGAAGAGGAAGATGAAAGGAAGGGATTGAATGACTCCTTGGCCTAAATCGGAACTAAGGACTCGTTGGCCATTTGCACTTTTATTTTGGCAAATGGTTTCACTTTCCGGAATCACTCCCTAATTAATGGAGTTAGGGATACCAGCCTCCAGGTGGGACTTCAGGATCCCACAGAATTACAGCTCATCTTTAGAGTACAGAGATCAGTTCCCCTGGAGAAAATGGACGCTTTGGAGGGTGGACTCTATGGCATTATACCCCACTGAGGTCCCTGTCCCCAGGCTCCAATCCCAAATCTCCAGGAGTTTCCCAATCTGGAACTGGCCACCATACCCTCCCCCCCCAATCCCTCGTTGGTGGCCAGGGAGGACCTGGCAACCCTAGATGAAGGCAAACACACCTCTGACTGAAATTCTCATCTTTGTAGAACTGCTCCCTTTATAAAGTCTACTAATAATTTCCAAATTAAGTGAAACTAAATTTTCTATATATTAGAAAAAGAATGTATGTAAAGATCAAGTTGTCTTCTTTTGAAAGGGGATACTAGGCTTAGCTTCATAAGGGAACAGTTTTTTTCTATTCTGGTAAATTATGGTAAAATATGTCTGGTCTTATATGCTTCCCTCAAAGGTGCTGTATAGAATATTTGTTTTTATATTTTTAATTTTCTACACATGACACAAAAATATAAATAAAAATATCCATGAACCTTCATTAACATCTGCCTCATCTAAACCAAGTTCTTCCATTAACTCTGAAAAAAGAAAAGAAAAACAAGACATGTGTCAGCTGCAAACATTATAGTAGACCTTCCCCTTCAAACAATTATAGGAAACATTACTTGATTTTTGCTTTTTTGTGTTCTCTGTTCCTTCTGATCCCTGCAAAAAATGAAAGGGAAACATCATGGTCCAAATTTGCTTTAGTGATCTTTGACTTAGAGAGAAATGTTAAAAAAAAGACAGATGATTTAAAATGCCAGTACATTTTCTATAGTGTATTTCAGAATGGTATTTACCTGACTATCATGCAATCTTCCTGAAAAAGAAAGAGAGGAGAATTAGTAGACTGCATAACTGTCTGCAGCAATTTTTCCATTCATGATTTAGTGTACTAAATGTCTTTAAAACTAGTTTTATGATTTTGCAAAAAAAATCCTCATGTGAGCCAGAAATACAAAAACAAATTCAGATGAATCCACCATGTATCTCATATGTTGAAGTGACTGATATAAATCAACAGATGTGAAGCACTAAAGGACAGATCCTACGGATTCATTTCTTTGGGGGGTAGTCTGGCACCAAGAGCTCAGTGCATGAACTGCAGGCACTTGGTCCAAAGGAAAATGCCACTGTTTGCTGAACAGAGCAGTGGAATCCAACCCAAGTCTTTACTGACTAGATATCTGCATCTAGAAATTTTGGTCTCTTGAGGACAGTTATTCTAAACAAAAAATTATAATGACAATTTTTTCAACCTATGTACTTTGCAAAATATTAAGTATGTGTGTGTATACCAGGAATGCAGAAGAAAATAAAAGTGAACAGATCAGCACTTATGATTACTTGCCATCACATGAATCTTCCATAACCCCATGAATGTGCACTGTATCTTTGGCAGACGATTTAGGCAAAAAATCAACAGTAGATTTTCCAGGGCTTTCTGAAGTGCACTAAGTCAAACAAAGCACAAAACAGATACAAGGCATGCTTCAGTTTATTTTTCCTATAGAAAGGAAATTCTTCTGTCATATAGAAATGATCTTCCAAGCATATTTTAAAACACTGAATCTAAATGTATTTAGATATTTGAGGCTATATTGGATTAAGACATTTGGGTAAAAGTAAGGAGGTAGAAGAGAGAGCAGCAATATAGGGGTGGGAGGCAGAGGCTTAAATAACGTAATCCCACTGAATGAAGCCTTTAAACTTCAAAAAAAAAAAAATCACTGTATAGCATAGTGTTGATATTAGCCACAGATACAACCACAAGAGTCAGTAGTCACATTAACCTCTTCGTCTACTGACCTTGTTCTCATCTTTTTCAGTTTCTTGGATGTCCTCTTGTTCATTGCACTGCTTCCCTGCAAATACAATGGAGGAAGGTATTCATGACTGTTATCATTTGTACACTACCCCTTACTCTGCAAACAACGTAACACCATTGTCAAGGCACTTCACTTAAATATTTCAGATGTCAGACTGAGGTATTATATACGGCACAAGACTAGGAAACAGGAATTAAATAAAAAAGAATATAAGTGGGTTCCAGTTCCTGGTCTCTGGATCATAAATACACACAGGTTTGAGCATATGTGACTGGCAAATGAAAGTACTAAAAACACTCACCTGTTCACATACTAACAAATTTTATATATACTATTACAATGGCAAGGACACTGACAATCTTATAAAAATATAAAAACAGCATCTAATTAACTGAGTTTTTTTATTTTTCAGTGTTTTAGAATTTTTTTCCTGGAAAACTGCTACAATTGTCAGTTTCTAAACAGAACTATGGGATCCAACCGAAGTCTTTGCTGACAGATATTTGTGTCTAGATTTTTGGCCTGAGGACAGTTGGTTCAGTTCTAATGCAGAAAATTACGATGACAACATTTTTTCAACCTTTGTACTTTATATGATATTCTTTTTCATTTGCAAAAAAATGCAAAATACCAAGAATGTGTGTACACAAGGAATACAGAAGTAAATAAAAGGAATCAAATCAGCATTTATGATTACTTGCTATCACATGATTCTTCTGAAACTCCATGAATGTGCACAGTATCTTTGGCAGAAGATTTAAGCAACAAATCAGCAATAGATTTTCTGAGGCAGGGAGATATATTGGGAAGTTGAAAACCATGAAGATGGCAGATCCTTGCCCCCTTGCATAAGCAGCATGTTCTTCAGGCAAAGGGGAGATTATATCCAATCCAATATTAGTGATTGTAAAGTTCCAAATAAAACCTTTATTTCATTTAATTTTTAAACATGTTATTCACGCATATTCAGAGGTTAATGGACATTAATACATTACTTTTGTCTTGAGTAGGCAACTGTACACTTAGCCATCATTTTCAGATCCCTATCTGATTCCTATGTAAAAACTGGGAAGGATATGTAAATCATGTTTTCTGGATTGATAAGCAGAAACTGGAGTGCGCTTGCTGATGACATAAACAGCCCTCTTTTTTCAGAATACCTACGTTACTACATATGTAATTTATTAAGATAACTTGAAAATGAAGTACCACCAGAGAGTACAAAGAAAAAGGAACAAAGAAGCAGTACTAGAATTCAGTATTTCTCAGATAGAAAGTCTAAGGAGTTTTCTTTTCTTGATGAAATAGGGTTGCCAGACCCCCACCAGGGGTGGGGGAACCCCCGCTTTTGTGGGGTGCTTTCCCGCTGCCGGCCAGCTGGCTAGCGGTGGGAAATACTCCCCCCAAATGGCCCGAAAGGTGACGTTATGAAGTCACCCGGAAGTGATGTCATCACATCGTCAACGTTGTGCAGCAACACTCTAGTTTTTTGGCAAAACTCTATGGTAAAATCAAGAGAGAGATCTTGGAGTTGTAATAGATAACTCACTGAAAATGTCGAGACAGTGTGTGACTGCAATAAGGAAGGTCAATGCTATGCTGGAGATTATTAGGAAGGGTATTGAAAATAGATCAGCCAATATCATAATGCCCCTATATAAATCAATGGTGCGACCTCATTTGGAATACATTGTGCAGTTCTGGTCACCACACCTTAAAAAGGATATTATAGCTTTGGAAAAAGTCCAGAAAAGGGCAACTAGAATGATAAAACGGTTGGAACACTTTCCCTATGAGGAAAGGTTAAAGCGCTTAGGGCTCTTTAGCTTGGAGAAACGACGACTGAGGGGTGACATGATTGAGGTTTATAAGATTATGCATGGGATAGAGCAGGTAGAGAAAGAGGTACTTTTCTTCCTTTCTCACAATACAAGAACTCGTGGGCACTCCATGAAATTGCTGAGCGGTCGGGTTAGAATGGATAAAAGGAAGTACTTCTTCACCCAAAGAGTGATTAACACATGGAATTCACTGCCACAGGAAGTGGTGGCGGCTACAAGCATGGACGGCTTCAAAAGGGAATTAGATAAGCATATGGAGCAGAGGTCCATCAGTGGCTATAGATAGGGACTCTGGGGCAAGTGATGCTCTGTCTTCTTGGTGCTTGGGGGGGGGGTCAACAGTAGGAGGGCTTCTAATGTCCTGGCCCCACTGGTGGACCTCCTGATGGCCCTGGTATTTCTGGTCACTGTGTGATACAGAGTGTTGGACTGGATGGGCCTTTGGCCTGCTCCAACATTGGCGCCTCTTATGTTCTTATGTTCTTAAAATCAGCTACAAACATTAGTAAAATCTTTGCGTGTGCAGCAAAAGATCCCAGAGAGGACCAAGGATCCCCCCACCAGCTGCCAGGTAAGACCTGGCAACCATATGATCAACCACTCATGCAACGTATAACAGATCATGGCAATAATAAATCATAACCAGGTTTTTCATACAGTGTAGTTCTCTGGTGACCTGCTAATACCTGCAACAAGTTTACAACCACAAAGCATTTCAAAATGAGTCAATTAACGAAGTGAAAGAAACAAGAAGAGACAGCAATTTCCACATGTATTAAAATTCTAATTTCCATCACAGAGCAAAATTAGAGTTTGTATTAAACATTAGGTTTAACTTACCTTTTTTGAAGCTGTCATCTTGCAAGGGATTCTGATCCTGTGAATTGCTATAGCAAATCACATTTCTATCCAAAACCGAAACTTTTCTGTCTTCCTCATCTTCATCTCCTTCTTCATCATCATCATCAAATTCCTCTGAAGATTCTTCCTAACATAATTAAAATTTGCACTGAATTTCCTACTTATTCCATTAGATACACAGATCCCCTTTCTGCACTTAATTATCATAGTATTTTAAAAAAACATGATAAGATATTTTCACAGGTCACATCAAGAATATTAGAAATATATTAATACAGAAAGAGCAGATGTTTTTGATTGATGCTAATTTTAATCAATTAGGCATAAAATGTTTTTCATTTGATTTAAAGTTGGAAGAAACAAGCTGGAACCCATGAGGAATCATTGGGGATTATAATCAGGAAATTCCACCCCAAAAATCTCCTTTCCAATATTCTTTTATATATATCAGCAACCACACTTCAAAGGTATTGTTGCTTGCACACATTATAGTCACAAAACTGGGACATCAATATATACATTCAAGGTTTCTACATACTCAGAGAACTCCCCTGCTATACAACCTCCATGCATTTGTAAATAAATAGCAAACCAACATATCTAAGTTATTGTTGGTCCTTGTATGTCCCTGTGTATTAACTACGGTCTTTAAGTTGTCACCTCAGCTACTCATTGTCAGCTACTCAGCTACACTTAAGACAGGCCACCTGGCATCACTAGAACATGTGCTTTTCCTATAGTGGGTTCTCTGAGAAAGTGAGGGGGGCGTAATATCTTTAAATGCATTTAGGAGTTGCTACAAGGTCATTGTGGCATTAAGGAGGACCAAGCCTGTTCATTGATCTCACAATGTTAAGAGGAGTTGACAGTTAATTAAAGCTAAAGGAGGGAAATGGGAAAATTGAGGGGCTTATGCCCCATACAGTTATTATTTTGAAGGCATAGATCTGAGTCAAAGGGGGCAAAAGGAATATTTTAGTCTTTATCCCTGCCTACCAGGGCCTCCAATGTTAGATAACATAAAATAACAGTGTCATTCATGGGCTTTGAGTTTATGCCAACTCAGTATCATCAATTTATAATCCAAACCATTTGGCTAAATTTCACCTTATCACTAGACATTCTACATTATTGTTAAAAAGTCCATGACACTAAATTTACTTACTGTATTAGACTGAAAGTCTTCTTTCAGATATTCTTCCCTACTCTGTTCACATTTGTGTACTAATTGTTCATATACTACTTGTTCCAGTTCTTGCAAATGATTGCTTTGTTTTTCTGTGGCATTTTGATAATCCACAAAACTACTGTTTTTTGTGTTCTGTTTTCTAGCTTTATGATTTTCAAGTTCTGCTTCTGACTCAGGATCATCATCACTTTCAAAAGTATCACCCAAGTTTGAATTTCTTCCTTTATTTAAAGGAGATGAAAATGCAGATTTAGCAGAAGTTGTTACTTCAAAAGTCTCTGATGAACAAAGATCTTCTTTGTGAAATCTTTGGTGGCTCATATCCAGTATGTTCTTATTTTCTTCAGTGCCTTGGAATTCATTAGGATTCAGAAATTCTGTGTTTTCTTCTTCACGCTCATGGTTATTCATATTTTTTCCTTCAAGTTTACAAGTGCTTTCTTTTTCAAGTGAATGACTTGGAAGTTCATTAATCACCCTCTTAATAGGTATATTTTCAACTGAACATTCATGCCCAGCTATAAAAGACATAGGAATATCAGCTGACTCCTGTATTTCTTCATTGTGCACACTGTACATTTCATTACCACTAATTGGAACATTTCTATTACCACAGTTTTGTTCCCCAACATTTTCATTATCAACAAAAGTTTCTGACAGTTCTCTCTTTTTTGATTTTTCAAAGTATTCTTCTTCATTTTCTAGTTTATCCAGACTTTCTTTTATGTTTTCATCCTCCTTTTCTTGACTGAAGTCATCTCCAGTTTCCTCATCCCCTTCATCTTCCTCTTCAAGTCCTTCTTCCTCCTCTTCTTCCATTTCAAATTCTTCCTCCTCTTCTTCCTCATCAAATTCTTCCTCATCCTCCTCATCAACATATTCTCCATCTTCTTCCTCACTGCTTGCATAAGAATCATTGGGATCTTTCAGCTCTTCTTTGTTGGGATTGAGAGTTCCTGCTCTATCTTTTGCCAATTCATTATTTTCAGTTTCATTTTTGTTATCTTCATGAAGCCATATGTGAACATAAACATACAGATGATTAAAAGATAAACAGAAGTTGTCAATTAAAAAAACATTACCTGCTTAATGCCCAAGCGACTAGTAGACATCTGGATAGGTTTTGGAAAGGAGCCAAGTGAGGAATGGGCAGGCTGAGGGGAGGACTTAGCTTGGGACAAAGGCTTAGGAAAGCACTTATTCACATCTTCAGCTTCACAATCTGAATTATTTTGCTCTGAACTGGCAATATGGTCTGTTCTGATAATGCTACTTCTCTCATCTACTACATTAAAATACAAACACACAAAAAGAAGCATATATGAACAGAATTATTAGAATACACATTTTCATACGGACAAAAATATGATAAAACGGATTTTTTTGGAGTAACGTACGATATTTCTTGAAGTGCTCATGAACTTTCACTAGCTCAGGCAGACGTTGGTTCTGTGGTTTCTGGAAAATAAAAGATTAAATGCAGTAAGATGTACAACAACCCTGACCTGGATAGCCCAAGGCTAGCTCAATTTCATCAGATCTCAGAAGCTAAGCAGAGTTTGCCCTAGCTAGCATTTGGATGCGAGATCGCCAAGGAATACCAGGGTCATGATGTGGACGCAAGCAATGGAAAACCACCTCTGAACATCTCATGCCTTGATAACCCTACAGGCAGAGCTTTTTTTCTGGGGGAACACGCCAGAACGAAGTTCCAGAACTTCTTCAACAAAATTCTTTAAAAAAATGTTTAAAAGTTCATGAGTTTTCAGTATACAGATTGGAAACTTAATTTCCCTCTTGAGAGTTCCAGCACCGCATTTTCAAAAAAACACCACCACCAAACATCCTGCATATGGGGTCATCATAAGTCAATTGTGACTTGAAGGGGGAAAAAGTGTATGACTAGCAATAATTTCTCTACTTACAATGAATGTTGAAAAATATATATAATTTTACATCTAGGCTTATTAAATTAAGATATGTTAACTACAAAACATCAGTACAAACTCGGCACAAAACCTTTACTACAAGCAATAAACAGTATTATTTCAATTTTTTTGAGAAAGGGAAGTTCAGTCACTAAAAATGCCTCAGCAGCACAAATTATACACAATAAAAGAATATTCACTGTGTATTTAATTCCTAAATGTTAACAGAATAATTATGGAACTGTCTTATACTCCTCTGCCATCTTATACTACTTATTGGCATGTGGTATGCAATAAAACCTTCACTCATGCAAACTGGCAGTCCATTTGGCGCTCCTCACTTGTTCAATCTAAGGGAATAGTTATCAAAACACAATTTCTTAAATTGTTATCTAGATGGTACCTCAAACCACAAAAATTACATCATATACACCCTTCAACATCCCCACTGTGCTGGAGGGGTTGTGGTGAAATTGGTTCGTATAGGCACTGTTGGTGGGACTGCGCGCATGTCAGGGCTTTTTGGCAACTGATAGGTAATCACATCTATAACATTACTGCTTTCCAGCTACCACTTGACACAGAATCCTTATTGTTAGGAACATGACAATTTAGCCCTTCACCCCCACTTCATAAGGAACTGATTCTCCTTTTATGCACAGCCACCAGACTTTCAATTGCAAAAACCTGGAAAAATAATACTCACCTTACACTATCAGCTTGGCTACATAAAGTCTGTGATTTCTGTCTAATGGACAAACTTGCTAATTCTCTTCTTTGTAAGGCTATGGAATTGTTTGATTTGAAATTTACCTCGATCTGGTTCCCCTTCCTGGACTATTTATCTACTAAACCTGAGTATTCTTCGATTTTGGATACTATAAATCTGCTGTATTGATGCATTTCATGGGATGTTTCATGTTAATGAAGTTCTTTGTCAAACTGTTTTATGTTAATATCACATCTACATTGTTTGTTATGTAAGTTTTATCACATATACCAGTTAAGCTATATTTCTGATGTGATATGTACTTGCTTGTATTGAATAAAAATTAGATTGGAGCATCCTTGCTACAAAGGGGTAGCAAGTCGAAGAAATAAATAAATAAAATATAAATAAAAAGACCACTCTACACGGATTGGGTTGTGGCGCAGCAGCGACGGCCAGCCCCGGGACGAAACGGTCATTTTGCCGGGTCTTTAGTGGGTTCCAGGGGATCTCAGGCTCCATTGGGTCTCCTCGAAGGGGAGCCCAAGCAGGGGGCTTGATCCAGGCCCTCCACTCTGCAGCGGCAGGTGGGTAAGGGTCCAGGATCACCCTAAAAAGCAGGACTCGCGCGAGCCCACTCATGGAAGCCATGAGTGCAAAGCTGTGAACACCCAGGCAGAGGGGAAGAAGAAAGAATCTCATCCATAACACCAATGATAAACATCACCATGAGTACAGCCAAAAGCAACAACATTAAGGACTTTGTTGATTCTCTGAATAAGCCCCTTTAAATTTTAAACGGACAAAGAAAAGAGGGGTGGAAAATTCCTCCCTCCCCCTCCTTCCTTCTTCAGCCAGCTAGGAAAAGAACTTAGTGAAAAACCATTTTTAAACGCTTTCCAGGGCAAAGAAGAAGAAAAAAGTTGTTGTCTGAGCTTATAATAATAATATTTTTGGAATATAAACTTGGAAGAAAATTTATCTGTTTGACTCTAAACATCATTGAAGCAGAAATACATTTATATTCTTTGGATGATAGACAAACTATCTGGAATGATATGAAGACTCTCTAAAAGACTATAACTATTTAATCCCAATATGGAATATAAATAATCACATCTCATCAAAAGAATTATAAATCTTTTCCCCTTTCAAAGAAAGAAGGGGGAGGGGATGGACCTTAATTTGAACTTGTTTTCTTCTCACAGTTTTTTAAAACATACTTTGCTTTATTTATTTGGTGTAGTAGTTAAGTGCGCGGACTCTAATCTGGGAGAATCAGGTTTGAATCCCCATTCCTCCACTTGCACCTGCTGGATGATTTTGGGCAAGCCATAGTTCTGGCACAGCTGTTCTTGAAAAAGAGCAGTTTCTGTCAGAGCTCTCTCAGCCCCACCTACCTCACAGGGTGTCTGTTGTGGGGAGGGGAGGGGAAGGGAAAGGAGTAAGATATTAATGTGACACAGTTCTTGGGAAGATATGCAATTTATAATCTATGACACAATTACTTCCCCTTTTAAATGGATACTTAGAGAAACTGTAGATCCATTACAGAATAAAAGGGAGATAAGGCTACCAGAAACTAGAATCAAGATGAAGGAAGCTCAGGAACAAAGAGACACTGCTACTGAAGAGACGGAACAAGACTACAATCAAAATGACTTGACCAACAGAATGAATTTTGCACCTAAAAAGAGGGATAAAATACCCATAAAAGTGTATACGAGAAGCATCAAAAAGCAACAAATGATGAAATCTCCAATGCTGTGGAAGCTGTACAAGATGAAACAACTCAGAAGGAAGAAATAGAAGAGTTCATGGAATCTCCAACTATTTCAAGTTTTGAATACAGATTACTCCGGAAAGAAAGTTTTTTTACATACAAGGGAAAAAGACACAAAATTAAGATTTTACTGAAGAAAAAAACCAGAAAAGGAAGAAGAAGATGAAACTTCTTAAATGACATTGCCTAGGGAAACCTGATGATGGTTCACAAGTGAAATTCCTGAGTAGAATCTCTGAAAATGTTGCGATAAAAAAGTCTAAATCAGAAGAAATTCTGAATGGTACATTTAAATACTTAAATATTCCTAACTGAAGATTATAACAAAAAACTTAAATAATATTTAAAGTAGATGACATTATGAATTGTATACTCATAGATATGCAAAGAGTATAGTTTGCTATAAGGTTGAAATAGGATAACTAGATATGTATGAGGTACTTAAATAGATAAAACAATGATGTAGATTAAGTTATCCCAGTATGTAAGTTTGTGTTCATTATGTATGTTTGTTAAAAAATAAATAAAAAGGTAATCATTACATAAATATTTGTACAGTTTCTGAAAACACCTGGTGGGATCTAACAAAATCCAGGATCCAGCAATGTCCTGAAATTTGTTCCAGCAGAGGATTTTTAGCATCCATACATCCCCAGACCTATTTCTGATCTGACCCCGCATGACACCTAGAAGTCAGCCCAGTTTAAACCATAACTTGCCCCAGCCTTTGCTAAAACTTTCCCCAAAGAACCTACCCCACATAAGTTCACAAGGTAAGGAAGGAGCCAAAAATCCCACTGCAAAGAGATTTTTTAACCTATATCACATATTGTACAGAAGAAAGTGGTGAATAATGAGGTGTTCTTGTGGTTAGAGGGTGTGTTTGGGACAAGAAGGAACCAAGAGCTCAATTCTAAGATGCTGAGTGGTTTGGTGTGCTATTATTTATTTATTTGGCAATAAATCCTACAACTATAAAATGATGGGTTGGTGCTTGTCATGATCTGTTCAGGACTAGGAACAAGGCCTAGTGCGGCCTGGTCCCAGGAGAGACCAGTGTGGAAGTGGAAAGTAGACAGCCTACAATCCCCATAATGCTTAGAGAGGGTTATAGCCAATCAGTTTCCAGAGATTCTGTGAGGAGATTCTGACAAGCTGTTAACTGTGACCTATAACTCAGACCCCTATACTGAAGGGGACTGTGTTCTTTCATTTCTCATCTGCGGTCTGGTCTCACAGAGGGGACAGGCTGGTCTGATGAGAGGAAGATCCCTCACTTGGCTGAGAGTGAGTACAGGTAGCGTAGCCTGGCAGGCTGTGGGCCTGGAAGTAGTAACCAGTTAAGTGAACTAGGTAGTCACGTTAGGTTTGTGTTTATTTTGCCTTTTAAACACTGTTATATATTTTAAAGCACCTTGCATTGTTTTCCTTGCCCCAGTACTGTGTTAACAAACCATTTTTTTAATTGTTATCTGCCTGGTCCTCATGCCTATGTTCTCGGCTTAAAAAGGGGCATTTTTGGAAGGGCTTGGGAGGGTACTCTGGGCCTCCTCAGGGGACCTGAAGTCCAGACTGGTGGCGGCAGAAGGTGGAGACCCCCTGGGGTCATGACAGTGCTCTTTGTTTTTTTGTTGTAAAACACAAACTAACATGAGACAGCCAGTCTGGTGCAATAGTTAGAGTGTCAGACAAGGACCTGGTAGAATCAGGTTCAAATCTCCACACTGTCTTAGAAGCTTATTGGTGACCTTAGCCCAGTCATACAATCTCAGCCTAACCTATCTCCCAGAGTTGCTGTGAGGATAAAATGGAAGAGAGGAGAATGATGTAAGCGCCTTGGGTCCCCACTGGGGAGAAAAGTAAGGCATAAGTGAAGTACACATAAATACCAAAGGACAAATATTAGTATACTAGGAAGAGGGCCTGATGTGGCAATAAAGACAACGAACGCTAGGCAGGCAGGCTGGCGGTGACTCCCCTTGTGTCTTCCCCCCCACTGCTCAAGACCCCAGGGGGCCAGGTCGCCTTGCCGCGGCTCCTCCCCGAACCCCACTGCTGGCTGAGGCCCCAGCGAGCCAGGGCGCCAGGCCTCGCCCGCTCCCGAGCGGGGGGCCTCCAGAGGGCTTTCCCTGCCCTGGTGGCTCAACAGGTGAGTGGGGAAAGGTGGCGCGGGTGCCTCCGGAAGCCTTCCCCCCCGTTCTGCTCAGCGGGCAAGCGGTGAGGTGGTGCGGGGGCCTCCAGGGAAAGCTGGTGCAGGGGCCTCCGGAGACGTTCCTCCCCGTCCAACTCAGCGGGCAAGCAGGGAGAGGTGGCATGGGGGCCTCTGGAGGCCTGTCGCTGCCCAGGCAGCTTGGCGGGCAAGCAGGGAAAGCTGGTGCGGGGGCCTCCGGAGGCCTTCCTCCCCATCCGGCTTGGCGGGCAAGCGGGGAGAGGTGGCATGGGGGCCTCCGGAGGCCTGTCGCTGCCCAGGCGGCTCGGCGGGCGAGCAGGGAAAGCTTGTGCGAGGGCCTCCGGAGGCCCATCCTTGCTGGGCGGGCGAGCGAGGAGAGGTGAGACGGGGGCTGCCGGAAGCCTTTCCCTGCCGGTCCGCCTTGACGGATGACCAGCCAGCCAACTGTGGCCAAGCTCGGGTGACGGCAGCAGGCTCGGGCTGGGCCCCCCTCCACTGGAGCGCCTGTCCTGTCTGTCGTCCAGCCGCATGCAGGGCGGGTGGCGGCTTGTGCTGAGGTGAGGACAACTGCAGTGTCAGCACAATCAGGCTCCGGTCCCCAGCCGCCAGAGCGTCTGTCCCGTCCACCCGCCGCAAGGAGAGTGAGGCCAAGATGCCGGGTGCCGTCTCTATGGGCGGGACCATGGCAAGAGAGGCACCAATGCAGCCAGTGGAGACAGACGCCCTGTGAGTGACACTCCAGGGCGCCAACCAATTCTGGAGCGTGTCGAATGTTCTGGAGAGTGCTACCTCCAAAAGGCTTTTATAATATAGGGAGATGACTTTGAATTCATAATTAACATTATTATAAACTTTACCCCAGAAGTGAATAAATCTTCATCTTCAGAACAAAGCCAGCTGTCGTCATTTGTTTTGCTAGAATTAAACAGAAAAACATAAGAATAAACCTCTTGTAAATGTAATAGAATTTACTACATCAAAAAACTTGAAAGCTCACCTTGATGAATCTCCAGATACGTCATCTACAACTGTTTTAAAAAAGCATGAAAAAGAAAACATTTTTAAAAGGAAACTTGTATAATAAGATGCATGAAATAGTTTAAATGATGTAACATGTTAGGATGAAGCACAATTTATGCTACGTATTATCTCTGAAGATATTTCAGAAAAACTTAATAACCTTCTCAATTACTTCTGTACAAGTTCAATAATTAAGCACACTGGAAATACTCACATGAACAAGTACTGAGATGCCAGCAGAGTAAAATTAATATTCATCATATTACCCCCTTCAGAGATTATGGTTTTCAAGCAATTGTTTCTAGTCTATTCTATACCGATTTAAGGCTTATCACACCAGAGAATGATGACTGGAATAGTAGCCCTTGACTTGCTTCCACATGGGGATTTTCTGTTGCGCAGAAAGAAGGAAGCCCTGGCAGTAAAGGGGAACAGCCACATGACATCATGCTCATTTTGACTATGATTCATGGCATCCCCAGGGCTTTCTCTGTTGACCTAGAAAAAAAATAATGTAACTCAAAGAGGAATCTGTGGAGTGGCTGTGGGGGAGTACCCATGTGGACACTCCCTCTATTGCTACTATGGAGAAGGGGTGAAGCTGAACTCTGCTTTCAAAATGGTGTGGGCATTGCTCCTTCCTGAATGCCATTTAAAGGGCTTTTCTCTTTTATCTGCCAAACCACAACACAATGCAGATCACTGAAGAAGTGAAGAGAACATGGGGTGGTTCAAGGCGGGACAGGGGGCTGGTTTCACATGATGTCATGGGCACCAAACAGAAAAAACAGGATGAGGGAGCAGCTGCAGCAAGTGTCACAGGAGCAAAGGACACTGATTCCATTTTGCTCTCTGCCACCCCTATGATGCATTTTCACACTCATGCAGGAACAGCCTGGCATACAGTATTCATAATCAACAACTCTTAATCATCTAATACAACACTCTTTGTGTAAATACTCTTATTCTGGAACTCACAAGCTCTCATATGCAAGCTTTCTCATTTATTTCAAAGATTTGACATAGAGACATATGCACAGAGGTGTGACACTGATCTGAAGATCGACTTTTGTCCAAATGGTGGTAGTGTTTACTTTCCCACCCCTTGTTGCTTGCTGCCCAATGATTACGCTATTCCTTTAGTTAATTAAAACATTTATTACCTTCCTGCCTGTCAGAGCTCAAAGTGGCTTACAGTAGTACATAAAATAGAACACATACAAAACAAAAGTTACAATCACAATTTAGGATTGCCATTAATAGGGTTGCCACTGGTAGGGGATGGGGGGTAGGACTGCCAGATCCAGGCTGGGAAACTCCTGAAGATTTGGGGCTGGAACCTGGGGAGGGCAGGGACATCAGTGCGGTACAATACCATAGAGTCCACTCTCCAAATCATTCATTTTCTCCAGGGGAAATGATCTATGTACTCTGGAGATGAGCTGTAAGTTTAGGGGATCCCCAGGTGCACCTAGAGGCTGGCATCCCTTCCCACTAAATTAATCAAACATCCTAAATAAAAGGGACCACATGAACCTTCCTGGGGAGGTTGTTCTACAATTGCGGTGCTGGCATTGAAAAGGTCCTCTCTTGTGTACACACCAAACAACCTTCATTTTTCAGTGGGACAGTCAGGAGGACAATGAGATACCCAAGCCACCTATTACTCTAACTTTAGTAGTTAGAATTGGCACTGAGCAGAATCAGGGAGGTGGGTGGCAAGGAGGCACAATTCATGTAAAAAAAGGCTGAATTAACCCTTCTTTTTTCCAGGGATCATTTGTGGGAAGCCTGAAAGGGAAGTGAAAATGCTTGTGCACACTCCATGTCATTCAGGCAATCAGACTCCCTATAATCAAGTTCCCTTTCCCAAAATCTCCCCTGACTGTGGTATGTTCTGGGAAGTGCTGGTGGTAACCCATCCAGACCATAGAAATACCACTTTGCAGTCCCATGCAACTACTACACTCAAGGCCCAACAAACTATGGCTGGGGGTGGCATTCAAGTGCTATTTCTGTCAGCCAGCTCTAGAGACCAATCCCACCAAAAGGTTATCTTTAAACATAATTCACAGACTAACTAAACTTGATACTGAGTTAATAGCTTTTTAATTCTACTGGAAAGGCATATACAAGTAGCACATAAAACAGGTTAAAGTCTTATTCCATAATCTCAGTATTATAAAATCCGCCCGCAGATTTAGAAAAACTAAGAGTGGTGTGAAGGGATTAAAAAAAGGGGAAAAAATGAGGTGGTTGGTGGTAGAGAAAGTACAGGGGAGGTGGGTGGAATTCCCTTCATTTCAGGAACAAACTTTTGGACAGAGTAAACCTTTCACTGCATTATCACGGACAGAGAATGCTAGAGCATCAACTCTGACACAGAGCATCAAACCTATGGTATAGGTCAAACATACAGCCTGCGAGCCGCAACCAGCTCATCCAGGGCTCTTATCCAGCCCGCGAGTAACTGATTACCTTTACTGCCAGATGACAGAAGCTGTGCATTATGTCCCTGTATACTGACCCAATGCTAATGCGTAACAGGCAGTGGAAGTAGGAGGGTGGGCATCAGGGAGATACTGTACAGAAATACTGTAAGAGTGTTAATGTTTTATGCATGTTTGTATTTTGAGTTAAAAATAATATTGTTAATTAGGTTTGCCTGTGTCTTTTATAAAGTTTATATCTTCAGTATCTGGCATTACATTTTCTGGCACACATGGCTCAGCTCAACAAAGTGACATTTATGTCAGATCCGGCCCTCATAATAAATGAGTTTGACATCTCTGAATTATAGATAGTGATCCAGTGTGGTCTAATGTTTGGGGTGTTGGACTAAATCCAGAGACACGTGTTCAAATCTCCACTAAGACATGAAGCTGTCTGGGTAACCTTGGGCCAGTAATTCTTTCTCAGCTTGGCCAACCTTCACAGGGTTGTTGCAAGTATAAAACTGGAACAGAAATCCATGTAAGCTACCCTGCACTCATTGGAGAAATGGTGGGAAGGCAGAGAGATAGGCAGATAGATCCAAAGTTTCCTTCTATTAGCGGAAGATCTCTCCCCCTTCCTCTTGAAGAGGCCCAAAGAGTAAGAGAAAACAGGACCCTCCTGAGTGATAACGCAGGGAGAAAGTTGATAGAATGAAGGCACAAAAACCAGGGCAACAATGAGAGCCAGAAGTCATTTTCAGGGTGTGGAGGGATAAGAAATCAAGATTCAGATGGATTACCTTCCAAGGCAATTAAAAACATCTGAACTACAGGAAGACAAGAAGTAATCCTAGGAGGTGGCAAGAGGAGGAAAAAAAACAAGTCAGAAGTTGCTTTCAGATGGGGGAGAGTGAGGATCCAGAAGAAAAGCAATCTGAAACAAAAGTAGAGAAAAGAGAAGCAAACGGGGGTGTGTGTGCAAAAGAAGTGCACAAATTGGCAAAGGAGAATGAAACTCTCAAGTCTTAGGCCCTTTCTGCACTACTCTTTTCCTTCACTTTCCTCACGCATCTCAGTCGACTTTTAAATACTGTTCTGCATTTCCTCCCACTTTCACCTCATATGTTCTTCTGTTTTTCTTTTTGGTTCTGCATTCCTTTTTGGCCATTCAGCTGTCAGTTCGTTTTCCGTTTGCTGTATCCCCAGCTTTTCCAAAAGTGGTTTTGCTGTGGACTTTTTGCTTTTTTTGCTTCAAAGTTGACAGTAAAAGCCTGATACTTTTCAATATTTTTATAAATGATCTGGATGAGGGTGCGGAGGGGCTACTAATTAAATTTGCAGATGACACCAAATTGGGAGAAGCAGCAAACTCACCAAAAGATAAGAGATAGAATTCAACAAGATCTGAACACATTGGAAAAGTGGGAGAATGTGAACAAGATGCAATTTAACCAGGATAAGTGCCAAGTTCTACATCTAGGCAGGCCTCATTTCAGCCCAGAGTGCGCCAAAGCAACGCTCCGGCAGTAAACAGGCCCGCCCCGCCCCCCTCCCTGGTCACCTGCACAGTGCCAGACACCCATAGAAGAATTTAGGTATTTGCCTATGGAGAGGTGCTGCGCTGGCCTGTCGCCCCGCCCCCACCAAAAGCCCTGCTCTGCAACTGCCGTCTTGGTGCCACTGGGCTTGGCCTGCTCTGGCGGGTGGGGATTGGCTGCTCTGACTCCCTGCTGCTGCACTGAAAGGAGGAGAGGGAGGCGGCAAGGTAGGCATGCGTGCCAAGCCCCTTACCCGCCCGCCTGCTTGGAGGCCACCCTACCCCCCCTCCTGCCTTCCCCCGCCTGCTTGCTTCCCCCCCACAACTTGCCTTCATGGGCCCACATGTCCCCCTTCAGGTGTCGCTGAAGCCCCAGGGGCTGGATCCCTCCTGGGATCACAAACAGAGTCTGGGGGCAGCAGGGGAGTCAGTCGCTTATAATCCCTCTAAGCTGCGGAGTCCTGTGAGGCTGTGAGCAAAACTTCTACTTTGTGAGCTATTGGCCTTAAAGTGGTGAGCGAGCGATTTGGCTGTTGCAGAAATTAGTTTGCTCTGGAGCACTTGGAGGATTTTTTTGGGGGGGGGAAAGAGGATCAGAGTTATGCTCTGTCTTAACTCTGCTGTACTTAACTCTCCTTTGCTGTACTTAACTCTCCTTTGCTGACTTGCTGAGCAAAAATGAGCTGCTGGCCTTAAAGTTGTGAGTGAGCGATTTGGCTGCTGCAGAAATTAGTTTGCTCTCCAGGGGGGGAGAACACAGGTGATGAGGGACAAAAGGAGATCTGTTAGCTTGGCTTGTTGAAGTTCTTGACTGGACCAACAGCCAGTCTCCCCTCTCAGACACTGGAAATTTGTTTTTTTAAAAACCCCGCCACTTCTTCCACGTGCCTGGAAGTAGCTTGCATTAGTTCAGTGAGGAAACATTTCTTACATATGTGCGGTAGAGAAAACATGGGAAACCTTTGCTACAAATGAGTTTTCAAAGCCACAGGATGCTTTGTAAACCTTTGGTGAAATAGAAAATAAATCCTGTGCT